TGGGAGTCCGAAAAACAATTACGCGTCTGACCCAGAGGTATTTCTGGCCCGGTATGTATCGCGACGCGAAACGCCATGTTCGCCATTGTGAATCTTGTCAAAAGTTCAAGACGGAACAAACCAAAGCGGCAGGCAAGATGCTAACCCGGGTTGTCAGCGAACCTTTCGACATTCTCTGCGCGGATTTTGTAGGCCCGCTACCCCGGTCAAAACAAGGTAACACCATGCTTCTGGTGTTTCACGACGTATTTTCGAAATGGGTAGAACTGATACCACTCCGGAAAGCCACCGCAGCTCAAGTGCAGAAAGCGTTTCGGGAACGTATACTTGCGCGAGTGGGCATTCCCCGGAAGTTCGTGTGCGACAATGGAACCCAGTTCACAAGCCGGGTCCTGAAAGACTATTTCACCAAGCTCGGCGTAGAAGTCCAGTACACGGCTCCATATTGTCCACAAGAGAATCCCACAGAAAGGACCAACCGCACTGTGAAGACGCTGATATCCCAGCTGTCGGAAGGCGACCAGAGTTCGTGGGATAGTATGCTGCCAGAGATATCCCTCGCGATCAATAGCAGTGTATCGGATTCGACGGGGTATAGTCCCGCGTTCCTAACTCAAGGACGGGAACCACGCTTGCCTGCGATGCTGTATGATGAACTGACCCCCGGATCGGCGGTCGTGCATACAGGTCCTGAAGACAAGGCGTCTCACCTCAAAGGCATCTTCGACATCGTACGAGCGAATCTTCAGCGAGCGTCTCAAGACCAGGCGAGACACTATAACCTACGAAGGCGAGAATGGAGACCCACACTCGGCGGTCAAGTTTGGCTGCGTCAGCATCCCTTATCGAAAGCAGCCGAGGGATTCGCCGCCAAACTTGCTCCCAAGTATGACGGCCCTTATACCGTTACAAAATTCACATCTCCGAACTTGGTACGCCTGCAACGTCCCGGAGATCGACGGCGACGCATCGCTAACATATCCCAGCTCAAACCGTACTACGCAGAAGCCCCTCCGGATAGGATCGACGATAGTATTGTCGGATCGAACGACCCGATGCAGTAAGCAGCATGCAGCCGCAATAAATTTAATATTTATTGTTTAACCACCGTATAACCATTGTATAAACACTGTATAAGCCGCGTATAACCATTGTAATAGATTAAGACCGAGTCCTTAGCTACGCCGTCACGTAGGGAATTCGAAGGTTAGTTTACCGACGACGGGCGCCTTTTTATCGCGCCACGGGAAGAAAGGGGGGGGTGTAACGTACACACTTAGGTGTACGATACAATTTTTGAATAATAATATGTTAGGTTATAGGTATAAGCGTCTGATCGTGAATATTAAATATTAAGTTAGTAGTATGTAAGTTATAGGTGTAAGTGACACATAATGAATAATAGATATTAAGTTGAAACTGAATATTAAGCCGTAGTTAAGCTAAGTTCCGAACCCGAGTGGCAACGCCAGCAGGTATTTAGTGAGTACAGAAAATACTAGAAATTAAGAAATATACTAGAAATCCCGAAAGCGGGAAAAAGGGAGCGTGGGGAAGGTGGTCACACACCGATCGGGCAGGAGGTCTCTTGTGTCGGAATGGTAAGACGGGGCGGACGTGTCTCCCGCAGTAATTTTCCGTGTAATTCGAGTAACGCCTCGACCGCGCGCGAACGAATAAAGGGCTCTCGTGCCGGAAAAGTAGAACGGAGCGGACGCGCCTCCCTGAACTCGCTTGACGGATAATTCGAGTAACGCCTCGACCGCGCGAAGGCACGCGGTTAATGAAGAAGTGGACTAGTGAGTGTGTTTGAGGTTAGTGTATGCAAAATTCCTATCCGTCAGGCAAGGACGGTGTAGCGGACTCATAGGAAGACAGTAGATAAATGGAAAGATAATAATAATAATAATAAAAATATAATAATAAAACAAAGTAAATTCCATGATCGTGATTCTTTTTATTTATAGTAGCCTAGCTCCCTTCCTCGTAGTGCATGTGACCTGTACGTGGACATCCGTCCCGTCCGGTCTAGTATTCTAACCTCACTCCCCGTAGTATTTGGGACCTGTACGTGGACACCCGGCCCGTCTGGTCCAGTATCTTGGTTCCCCACATCGTAGCATTTGGGACCCGACGTGGACACCCATCCCGTTCGGTCTAGTATCTTAGATTCCCCCCTCCCTCGTAGTGCATGGGGCCTGTACGTGGACATCCGTCCCGTCCGGTCTAGTATCTTAACCTCACTCCCCGTAGTATTTGGGACCTGTACGTGGACACCCGGCCCGTCTGGTCCAGTATCTTGGTTCCCCATATCGTAGCATTTGAGACCCGACGTGGACACCCATCCCGTTCGGTCTAGTACCTTAGATCCCCCTCCTCGTAGTGCACGTGACCTGTACGTGGACACCCGGCCCGTCTGGTCTAGTACCCTAGTTTTCCTCCTCGTAGCGCATGCGACCGGCACGTGGACACCCGGTCCGTCTGGTCTAGTACAATAGCTTTCCTCTTCATGGTGCATGTGACCTGCGCGCGGACATCATTCCCGGCTGGTCAATCGTACCGCCATCCTTTCTCCTCCAATCCCCCCTCGTATCCGACAAATCCTATCCGGCTTGGCCTCGCCCGAAGGTCCAGCCCGGTGGATTTTTGGCATCCGATACATCGAGAACGATTTGCGCGCGACGCAACCCCACCCGGCATCCCCATACTCGCGAAACCGTTCGTCTGGCTTGGCCTCGCCCCAAGGTCCAGCCCGGTGAATTTTTGGCCTGCGACACGCGGAAAGCGACTTACGTGTCCCAGTCGCGGAAGTGATCAGCGGGACCATCCGGCGTCCCCATACTCGCGAAAACTGTTCGCCTGGCTTGGCCTCGCCCTAAGGTCCAGCCCGTGGAATTTTTAACCCAGGAGCAAGGTACGGCGTGACCAACTCCGACACCAACTCTCTCTCTCCTGGCGTCTATGAGAACCTTCGGTGTGACTCCCCAAACGACTCATTCACTCGTTGAATGATACTCTCTAGTCCGGTGTTTCGGTGATTTACAAATTTCTTGTAAAGGACTCCTGGATCTGACTGAGATCTGTACCCCGGCCAGAGAGCATCCTTACAATGCATACGACAAATTTAATTATTGGTTTAACTAATTGGAAACGCCAAATTTTTTGATAGACTATGACAAAACTATGAACGAATAATGAAGAATGATGATTGTTTAAACTTGGTTCCTGTTGAGTAACGAGAATTGTAATATATAGTGGCATATATTTTTTTTTAAAATAATTTCAATGCCTAGCGGTGTATTTTTGACTTTCAGATTGCTAAACTTATTTACTTTCATATGCCGCTATATATAATGAAACAAATATTGTAGACTGCTTTCGATAAACTGAACAAATTAAATAAATGTTTTGCATATACTTACTATGGCATAATCATACGTACATGAATATATTTTTATATATCCCTGTGTTATGTGTGCGGCAACCAGCAACAATAAATTACAGCACTCGCTCTACCCAAAACACTCATTTTGCCAAATTGCAACCAATTAGCAAGCAACAATAATAGTTGATAGTGATCAAAACTGAATTATATATAATATTAGCTGGCATTATAGGCTTCCCCCTCCACTTCCACTTGCACGACACGAAAACACATAACGATTGTAGCTGAATTATTACAAATTACGTTTACAATATTCATAAGTCGTTGGGACAACTCAAAACTTAATCGAAATCAAAAATGAACAACAAATATGCGTGTATTGTGTGTATAAGCTTAATAAATATTTCAAGTATTTGAAATTAATATTTGTTTGATTTTTTATTTTTAAAACTTTTTTTTTTAATAATTTAGAGAACAATTTTAAAATAGTTTTAAATGGATAAGTAAACTGATTTCTAACAGAGCACTCTTGAAATTGGGCTCCAGATATTTCTATATACTTCAGAAAATATAGTATTTTGGGAACGATTATTGAAAGTTAATTAAATAAATATATACAAAATTACCAGAGCTTATATAATGGCTGATGAATAAAATATTTGAATCATCATTGCTATTGATAAACAAGGCAGAAAGCTAACTATTAGAATATTGCAGTTTTTATAAACTGACTATAAATCGATTTATATATTTCAAAACAATGAACTCATGTCGATTTTCCATTCAATTTTAAGATCGCTCGTAAAGCACATATATTACTTGATTTTTATAAATTTAAATATATATTTTTATATATATTTGAAATCAATAGACACATCTATATCTGTATTCGTTTAAAAGCAAAGAAGGTTTACCGATTTTCCTATTAGTTTTCGAATTTTTTTTTCCTAAGACAGCTATATGTCAACGCAAGCCATTGGACAACTGCGATTATACTCTTATATATAATATATCCATTTTGTATGTTTTCCAAAATAAGATTTAAGTTTTATATAATATATAGCTGTAATAGGAAAAAAGGAAATCAACTTGATGTAGATTAGTTTTTACCCGTTACTCGTTAAGTAAAAGGGTAAATTGTGTTCGTAGAAAAGAATGTAACTGATCGAGATCGCGAATCCTATAAAAGATAGAGATTTTGGATTTGACATTCAGATTCTAATAGTACAGCGCAAGTTTATTTCAAAACGCCTTATCTATCGGTAGAAAAAAATTTTTAAATCGAGCTATTTTTTTTTAGAAGTTATTGAGCTATTAAGTTGTCTGCCGCCGCTCTGCCGCTGCTCTGCCGGCAAAACACTATCCTTTGCTCGTTAGAGAAACAGAACGAAATAATTGTTAGCGGGGGGTATTGTATCGTGCGGGAATATTAAGTTTAAAGTTTGTTAGCTGAGTAAAGAGTATCAAATAGTTTGGAAACTAAAGCGTTCTTTCTTTTTAAGCAAGGGTATGTAAAATAAGCTTGCCATAGCTACCTTTTTTTTATTCAATTTCAAAATTTAATTTTAATTTAATTAATTGAAATTTAATTTTATTGAAAAAATTAATATCCGAAATTCTTCTTGGAGCAAACTTATATAAAGACAAAAAACGCAATCCGTATTAAAAGCGATGGTGATCCCGACTTGCAGCCTTGAGATCCGCTGGAGGCCGAGGCCGAGGCCCAGAGGAATCGACGAAACCAGGTGAGACCTTCGGGTTCCTCCCTGATGTAGTAGTACATGTAGTTGAAGGGCAGCTGGTTGCCATTGGCGTCCGTATTATCCAACCCAAGGACGGTGTGGCTCATAACGAATCCATAGCGCTCGCTGGAGGAGCTATTCGCCTCCAAGGTGGGCGATTCGTTCACCAAATCCACATTGAACTCGGCCAGATTTGTGGCCGTATCCCTGGCATTGCGGATGCGAATCTGCGACTTCTTGTACTGATTCCGTATCAGATACTTCATCATCTCGGGCATCTGAGGCAGATACATCCAAATGAAGGTTTCGCCCATTTCCAGGTGCAGATTATGTTTGAGGAGCGAGTTCCGATGCGATGCCATGAGGTTGAGCGGTTGGCGCAGGTGCTGCATGCGCTGTCTGCCAAGATTGCGATTGAACCGGCCATCCTTTTGGTGCTGCACCTTCTCCGCCAGCGACGACAAGGCACCCATGTGCTGGAACTGCGACTGTGCGGCTCGAATTAGCCGGAATTCGTAGTCCCTCTGGCAGTCCGGATGGGCAAGACTGTCCCAGCGACAGCTCTGCAGGGTCACAAAGCTCTGGAGCAGCCAGTCGATGGGCTGGTCATTGCTGAACAACCGGACGTAGGCCACAAACGATTGCAGAACGGCGGCGGGGAAGAGCTTTCCTATGAATCCCAAGTCGCTGAAACTCATCACCAGCCAGTCGGGCTGGTGGGCAAGCCGAAAGTGGCCATGCAGCAGGACAAACTTCTGGATGTAGTCCATGAAGCCCCTGTTGGCCATCACGTCGTCCTCCAGCTGCAGGTAGTACGCACCCTTCGTTCGGGCATAGGACATGAGGTATATGTAGTCCAGGTTCTGTTTGGTCCGCCATCGAACTCGCAGCGGATCATCGTGCAGTGTGATATGAAGTCTCGAGAAGTTCGGATAGTAATTCAGGGGCGGGGCAATCACGTCGATGAGACCGGCTCGCAAATGCAGCGAATGATTAGCCTGCAGTTCCTTAACTATATGCCTGGCAAACTGCAGCCTGGTCTCGCCCACAAAGATCACAATCAAGGCGTGTTCGCGATCATCGGGTTTCATCCGCCGGATCAAATAGTCCACCGTTTGGAGCACATAATTCCTTTTGGCTCGCAGCACAGTGGGCACTCCGATCACGAACTTGACCCCTGTTCTACCGCCGCTAAATCGATAACGTGGTTTTAGTTCCGGACTGGTGATCACTTGATCCCTGGATTTGTAGTCTGGATTGCGGATGCTTTTCACAAGGGGGCGAGTTGTACGCGCTACTTTGGTCTGGTTTCTTACAGCTCGCGGTTCCAACGGCTGTATATTGGTCATATCCTTTCCAAAATACAGCAGGGCACACAGCAAATAGGTAATCGCAATGAGACCAGAAAGGCAAGATCCCCAACGAATGTTAATCAGCTTCATGATTGGATATCAAGTTGTCTATGCCGACTTTTGGCACAAGGAGTGCTTTGATTTTTAAGATATTTATTATTATTAGGTGATATAAATGTTTGACAATATCCAGTTATGGTTCTTTGATAAATAATGTACTCGTATAGATTAGTTTGAAACGCTTGACAATATCCCATTAACACATCACGGTTCGCTTTGCAATACACTTCTTATAACAGTTGAAAAAGACAATTACGATATAGATTAGAAATACTTTTGTCTTGTCTTAAATTGTTTGCAACAATATCAGATCGTTAGAAATAGGTTTGATTACACATATAGCTTTAGTTTTGTTAGTTTTGTTGCCGCTATTGATTGTTTCGTTCAGTCGTTCATTTCAGCTTCCAGAGTGCATCCAATTCGTTGAGCGGATCCTTGGTCTCCTGCTGATCCTTCGCAGTCACCTGCGGCGCATTTTTCATTTGATATGATGTCATTATGCCACCTGCATGGTCACCAAAGTAAACATAAATTAAAAATAAATGTTTAATGTATATAAAAGTAATATTAGTTTTGAATTGCTTACGTTTGTTAAGCACATTGTGGGCATTGCAAAGTAAAATCTGCATGGACTGTTCCAGAATGGCCGAATCACGCAGAGAATTTTGACGCTGTGCGCAAATGCGCGACCAAACATCAACGATATCTATTATATAAAAGTAAATATTTCATGGTTATTACAGAAATGAATAAAGAATCTTGAAATCAGTCACATTAAATGGGATTGGATTGCATAAATCTCAAATGGCAACATAGCAGTGTAACCCATTAAAAACTGTTTTTTTTAGAAATGTATATTTTCAGATATATTTTACGGTTATTTTTTTTCGAAAATATTAAAAACAAAAATTTACCCAACTGCTGGTATGATTACGGACAATTGAGTATCCGAATTGAATCAAGAATGTTAAAGGTAACTTCTTATACAATGATGTACAAATTTTAAAAACTAAAAAAAATTAACAAATTTCTATACTTCTGAAAAGAAGTCGATTTTTTGGGTGTCCAAAATCGTTCTTTTTTTAATGCCAAATACATCAATGGTATAGTAAATATAATCAACACTTATTTTCAATTTGAGTCGATCTGTAAATTTCTTGCTAATGAATTTAAAGTTTCAAGGTAGCGATTTATTTCTGCTGATATTAGAAAGCTGCCGCTATCACAGGATTTTTTTAATAGTATAAATCGTATGACCATAAAAATAGATTTTTTTAAAGTGTCTCACTGTTACCAGCCCCTAAAATGGTAAAAACTTCTGTGTAAGCTAAGGACTTGTTTCGTATACTCACTGATTAAAATTGGCTGCTTGCTCTGAGTGGCTATAATGGCGCATACACCAATGGCCAACAGTTCGGAGCGCTCTGAGCCCGTTAAACAGTTCATGATGAGCGGCGAGTCGGGGGCGTTAGCTGCCTGGCAGCGCTGTCGATGGGTCTCCAGCGCATTTTGGGCCACTCCCAAAAGTTGAGCGGGTGCCCTATAAAATGTGTATGCCAATTAAATAGGTTAACAATCCTCAGATGATTTAATTTTAGGCACTTACCCCTTGGTCCACTGCTTCAGTTGAAGAAGGGACAAATCCAGGACGGCATCTGCACCATGCATGGATAATTTTAGTTGATACTCGGAGCAGTGACTAAGTGGCTGCACCCTCACACAGGTCACCGTGTAGTCGTCATAGTGAGTGGGCTGGTCCAAGGCCTGCGGCCAGTAGGGATCGAAAAGCTAACAAAAAATGCAGAACAACTTGATTTACAAAGTTGACACACTTCATATAACATCTTTACCTCATTTGTGGTATGCAGACAGACCACAGTACGTGACTTTTCCGACCAGATCATGGACCAGAAATCGTTTATGGTATTCGGCTGCGGTGTCTGAGCGACGATGAAGTTGGGACAGCCGGCACTTAAGTTCTGATTATAATGAAAAATAAAATTGTTAGTAAAGTTGATTAATGAAAGTGATGTGGAAGGAGAACCTCTTTTTGAACAGTATCTTTGGGATCATATACTCCTGAGCAGTGTTGGGAAAGTTACTAGTTTTTTGGATCTAGGTAAGGTACAAGGTATTTGTGAAAATAGGTACTTAGGTAAGGTAAAAGGTACACAAATTGTTATGTATCTAGGTAAGGTAAAAGGTACAAAAAAGGTAAAAAAATACATTTTTTTAATACAATACCATTTTTTTTTAATTTAATCGTTTTGTCCTTGACAAAGTTTCGAAGGAATTGTGATATTGTGTATATGTTGAAACAGTTTTTTTGATCTAGGTTAGGTACAAGATATTTGCGAAAATAAGTACTTGGGTAAGTTAAAGTTACACAATTGGTTATGTATCTAGGTAAGGTAAATGGTACAAAAAAGATAAAAAAAATACATTTTTTTTTACCATTTTTTTTTTTAATTTAATCGTTTTGTTCTTCACGAAGTTGCGGAGAAATTGTGATATTGTGATTATGTTGTAGCAGAAACATGTAACAAGAAACATCTTTTATCTTACATTAAAAATGTTGTGGAATTAATTTTTCCTTAACTTGCTGTGAAATTATTTTTTATTTACATATTGGGGAAAAGAATACGAAATTCAATTTATCAAGCTAATTTGAAAACAAAATTGAATAAAAATATTTTAGTACCTAAATACATATTATATCAAATTTTTAAGATAAATAAAAATCTTTACCTAGGTAAGGTAAAAGGTAGACTCATATTTGTGAAGCTAGGTAAGGTATACGGTATCAAAAAAGAGTACCTAGGTACATATATAGGTACAAGTATTTAGGTACACCCCAACAATGCTCCTGTGGAAATATCTTATTGAATGTTCTAGTGGGTATCAAGCTAATTTGAAAACAAAATTGAATAACATTTTTTCAGTACCTAAATACATATTATAGAAAATTTGTAATATAATTTATTTAATTAATTTAAATTCCTAGGTAAGGTAAAAGGTAGCCTCATATTTATTAACCTAGGTAAGGTATCAAAAAAGTGTACCTAGGTACAAGTATCTAGGTACACCCCAACACTGCTCCTGTGGCATTATCTTTTTAAATGATCTTTTTGGACATATCTCACCTTCATGTAGGCTGCATTGATGTAATCATCTGTCTGCTTGTCCAGCTTAACTCTAGCATGATCGTAGGGCAGACAATCGAGGGATCTGTTTTTCTCCGGGAACAGTTTCGCAATTGTGGTAAATCGCTTGCTGGCACTCGGGTCTTTGTCCAGTTTCTGCTGCAACTCCTGCCACTTGGCACCCAGTTGGGTCTTCCCGTTCAGCATTTTCACGTGCAGATTCTCCAGCAACTTCTCGTAGCTCTCGACCTCCTTTTGGAAATATTTCGTGGTCTTTTCGTCGGTGAATGTTTCGGCTTGGAATGCAAAACTGTTCGAATGCCCATTGGCTGCCGAGGCCTTGGACTGTTTCTCATTGGCGGAATGTGTTAGGGACACCGAGTCCCAGTCGAAATTCTCCAGGGAGCTTAAATCAGAGCAGTTGGAGAGATTGTCCAGACTGGTGCATCTTGGAGCTTGGATCTTGGGTTCAGTTGCAGCTGGAGCGATTTCCTCGGCGGTTGCTGGTGGAATCTCCGGAGATGTGGGAGCAGCGGTCTGAAAGGAATCAACATAACGAATATAATTTACATGTGTAGAGTGATTTTTCTTTTTAACATTTACCTCGACCACACTTTCGGGCTTAACGGGAGCCGACACCTGACTTCCTGGTGGAGTGGGTGTGGCCACCACCTGGGGCTGCAAAACGGGCTGCGGCAACATGGGCGGCGGTACAGCCACGGAGCAGTCAATGTCCAAATCACTCAGCAGATCCACATTGCTGGACACCTTGGGGGCCACGGCCACCACCTCTGCCTTGGGTTCCACTTTAACCGACGCTGTGGAGGAGGCGTACGGCGGTCCACTGGTTGTAGTTTGCGTGTGGGCCGTGCTGGTGGCACCGCTCTGCATGTAAATGGAGCTCGTGGGAGGCTTAGGAGTGGGCTGCTGCGGCTGGGGTGTCTGGCTGCCATGGTAGCCATAAGGAGTTGTATAGTAGTTGGTCGACTCCTTGTCCCCTTCCGCCGCATTGGAGTCCTTAGCTGGCAGACTAGCCTTGGTGTGGGATACGATGGGTGACTGAAAGTAGTACATTGTTATTAAATGCTTGAAAATCGTGTATAAGTGTACTGCTCACATCGAATCCGGTGGCCGTATTGCTGCGTTTGGCGTGCTCCGAGTCTGTGGTGCCCACCGACTGCTGTTTGCCGCTCTGGCTGAACTGGTAGCCCTGAGATCCCTGCGATCCCTTCAGGGAGCTGCTATCCTGCTGATAGCCACTGTTGTACTCGAATACTCCCGTCTGCGGATTGAAACTGTAGCCGGGATGGTTGGAGTAGCTGCTGTAGTTGGCTGAGTGATAGGTAGAGGCGGGAACTGTGGCCTGAGCTGGTGTGGATGCAGGCGTTTGAGCTGGAGCTGGAGCTGGACTCGGCACGGGAGACACTCCAGGAGCTGGAGCTGGAGGTGCATGGGTATCACCGAACTGCTGTGGATACTGCATGGATGGCACAGAGTTCTGTGGCAAAGGCTGGTGCCCTGGAATGGTTTGAGGCGATCCCTGGACGGCCTGCGAGGGATAGAGTGAAGGTTGTTGCGGAGCTGGCTGCTGCTGCTGCTGAGGTGTATAACCCGTCGATTGCTGCTGATATTGCAGGGGTTGTTGTGGTGCCTGGAATTGGCCATATCCTGTGGCCTGCTGCGGTGGCGTCTGTGTGTAACCTGCATTTGGCTGCTGCGGTGTCTGTGGCTGGGTAAATCCAGCAGGTGGTTGGCTTTGAGAGTAACCTGTGACCTGTTGTTGCGGTGTCTGTGACTGGGGATATCCAGTGGACTGCTGTGGCGTATGAGATTGGGAATATCCTGCTGATGGCTGCTGGGGATAAGCCGCAGTCTGAGCTTGGAGATATCCTCCTGGTTGCTGCTGCACCGACTGATTGGGAGCATATGCCATGGCCTGTCCTGTCGGATATCCAGTAGATGCCGGCGGGTAAGACACCTGTTGCGTTTGGTAGCCCTGTCCGGGATAGCCTGCCGTTCCCTGGTACTGATTGGCCATCTGATTGACCACAAACGGGGCCTGGAGGGAGGAGGGCAGCTCGCTGGCATTTGAAACCGGATGGGGATTGCCCGAAGTGGCCACATACAAGGGCTGCTGGATGTTGAATCCCTGAGCAGCTGAACTGGCCGGAGCAGTTCCAGCTGCGGGTGGAGCATAGGTCAGCGGAGGCACTGCTCCACTGGCATACCCGTACTGGCTGTAGCCCGAGTCCGCCGGGTTGTTATCCGGCGCCTGTGCCTGCAGATTCATCTGGGCCATTGCTGCGTGGAGCGTCTGGGAATTGGGCGACGCTTGGGCCTTGTAGGCCGGTGGAGCGATGTGCTGCTGCTGCTGTTGGTACATGGGATTCGTGTAGCCGGCGGCACTGGGATCAAAGTACTGCTGCTGGGTGAGACTGTACGGTGGCGGCGGCTCATTTGGCGGTGCAGTGGCATAGGAGCATGCGGCCTGGGTGGGATTCTCCGAGCCCACCGGCACCGGACGCACTGTGGGCACATAGCCCGGAGTGGCGGGATTCGAGGCATCCGCCATTGCCGCCTTGGCCTTGAGGTAATCCCTCAATTTGGGCGTGCTACTGACCGCTGGCGAAGGTACTGCTTCCGGGATTACTTTACTGACCACCGGCGTGGTGGCCGCCTTGACGCTCTGCATCCTTTGCTGTCGCTCCTCGGACTGCACATCCCTGGCGGATCGAAATCGGGTGAGTAGCTTCTGCACATTGCCGGCCAGCTTCTTGTAGAATTCCAGACCCTTGGCCGACTTGGCCAGCAGATCCTCATACACGTCATAGGAGGCAGCCAAGGAGCTGTAGAAGTGCTCCCGTTTCTGCTTCACATCCTGCAGCGTCTTCAGAACCGGTGCCGCCTTGGCATAGTTTTCAGTTAGAGCTTGCAAAATGTTGGCCTGAGCCACCATGTTTTGGTCCAGGAGTTCGGTTATCTTGTCGTGCTTGCCCAGCTCGGTGGCAAATAGAGCTTGGAGACCCTCCTGACCACCATGGGCAATCACTTTGCCCGTAATATCGTCCTCGTTGATGGCTATCCTTAGATCCGCATGGAATTGGGCTCGCTGGGCCTTCATTTCGTTGACCTTGTTGAGGATGAGCTTCACATCTCTGAAGATTTCGGTGGTATTCAATTCGGAACTTAGTTTGGGCATCAGTTGTTGGATTTCGGGCAACGGTCGGGCCAGGATTTTCAGGTTATTCACATGCAGGCTCATGGCCTTTCTTAGGGTGTTATTGGACTCGCCTGCTCGGGCATGAGCTTCACTGTACTTCTGGAACTCTCGAGTTAACTCCGTAATGTGAGCATTTGGAGTTCGCTGGACGCCGCTCACCGACTGGAATTCCCGCTCCGCCTTGGATTCCGCTTCCAGTATTTGAGAAATCTCGCCGAGATTGGTCTCCACATCGGCCGTAATCTCGGCCAGCTGAGACATGGCCTCCACCAGATCGCTAATGGCAGTCTTGTTGGCATTCAAGGCAGCACAGCGATCGACAATGCCCTGTGGCAACTTGTTGGCCTGTTCCTCGTTGATATTAAGGTTGTCCAGGGTGAGCGAGCTCATGTAGGCCTCCAGTTGGGTGTCCTTCTCCTCCAGCAGGGCTCCATACTTTCGCAGCAGTTTGGCCTTCTCCTCGCTGTACAAAGAACTCGCTTCGTGGGCCTTCATCGGCACCAATCGAGCAAAGATATCTGGTCCCGAGTGCTCCTCGTCGGTCACTTGAAACCCGATGCCGTTGACCAGATTGGCACCTTGGACCGCTGCAATGGTGGAGAGTTCCGGCACCGCTTCGTGGTAAATGAATTCGTTCTCGTTTTTGGCATTCTTGCGCTTGGCCTCCACCACATCAGCGGTGAAGCTCAGGGATTCATTGATCTCCCGCTGATCGGGCAAACCCTTGGACTCTTTGCGCGCCTCCTCCAGTTTGTCCCATGAGGCCTGCAACAGGATTATGGTCAAAATGAGCGCTCTCTTCTATGGTTTATGGATTTTGAGTACCCACCTGATAGAGCGTCACCCGCTCGCCCATCTGACGTTTCTCCTCGGAGTGCTGCCCCTGATAGAGGTACAAGATGCAGGTCAGATAGTTGATCTTGAAGCGCACGTACTTCTTCCACAGCTTGTACACCGAGCTATCGATGACCTGGGCCACCGGACCATCATCTCCTCCGGTTAGCAGGGCAGCCAGGGCGGCTCCATAGTAGACCACAATCTGGGCGGTCACCTTGGCCACGATGTGTGGCTTCCGGTTGTCGATCAGTGACTTCTCCAGTATGCATTCCTGGGCCTGGGCAAAGCACACTTGCTGCTGGAACACCAACAGCTCGTGGGTCATGAAGTCTCCGCCACTGTTCACGTTGGCATAGCGCTCCCTCAGCTCTCCGTAGGCCCAAGCCGCCGCCTGAAAGTGGGTGCAGGCCATCTTCATGCCATCGACATCACCGCGGGTCACCGAAGCTCCGGATTGCGTGTGCGATGCCGCAATGTTGAACAGCACGGCGGCCCGCTCGAATCTCAAGTCGCTGACCTCGTGCACGGCACTGTGATAGAGATCCTTCCACGTGAACGTGAAGATCCCGCGATCGGCCAGCTGGGGAAATCGGTTCTGGAGGGCGTGCAGCTGGCAGTAGTAGCGCTTCATCACCGGTGCCCCATCCTTGGTGGTGTTCATTGCCTGGTTTCGCAGGGTCTCCAGGGCATGCACCTCCTTGGAATAGGCCTCGGGGTCCTCATGATAGAATTCCGCAATGTACTAGAAGCAAATTAAAAGGGTTAAAGTTAGTCGATTTCATTAACAATAAGGTAACGTTTGTACTCCCAAGTTTTGCTCTATATTTGTTTAGAAAATATAAATTATAATTTATAAACTTAAAATTCAACAAATATTTATGCTATTGGCTTTTGCTCTTATTGATTGGCTTAAACATTTCTGTGTTGCTTGCAGTATACAATTTGGAAATACTAGAATTGTATCAATCAATAAAAATTACCTAAGATAGCTTAGTCTTGAGAATTGGATAACCATTAAGAAACGGCAACCAACTTAATAAGCTTTTATTGAAGCGGTAAAATGATAGAATATTTAATAAAAAAATATCTTCTTAAAATTTTAAATCGAATAAAATTTACTCGGCTAAAGTTCCCAATTCAAGTTGAAAATACATGGTTGCAATTGCCTACGAAAGTTTGTTTATAACTCATTGTTTGGCGAGTTGATCAGATGACGGCGATGACTCAGCGACAGACAAAGAGGGCTTAAACGGTGGGGAAAATGGGAAAATGCAGGCAAGCATTGAAAATGCACCTGCTTCGGAGGAGCATTGCAAATTTAACCGAATATTTCTAGAAACAACGCATTTTACACAGATGCCCGATAAGTACAGAAGTTCAACTAATTGGGGCTCCTCTTTGTTTTGCCGACTCTCTTAATTTTCACTCCCCATTTCCCCTCTCTCTTTTTCGTCTTTACCTTTTTCAAAGCCGCAAAGGAGGTTCCTTCGGGACTCGATTTAAGAGCGAACCAGAGCATGTGCAATCGCGGCACCGCCTCCATTTTGTTGCCTTTCTATTTAACAGACAATTTAAGCTAATTACTTGCAATTAATTAACACAAATCAAAACAAAATAACTCGGCTGCAAGAAAAATAATAGAGATGGGGAAACATCAATAGCAACATCGATATCTTGAAACTTGAAGAGTTATCGATGTTTGGCATTAATACTTTGGCATCGGTAACGTGTTGGGGAGATATCGATATATTGGAACTTTTTTTTAAAACCTTGGTAATAACAAAATTTAAAAACAGATAATCTTAAAACAAAGAAAGAAATTAATAAATAAACAAATTGAAATAATAATATTATAACACATACATATTTTACTTTGGAGTCTTGAGCTAAAAATTCAATTATAAACTAATTTTTCAATTTAAATCTCTTGAAATTATAACACTGTCATAATTTACAAAATGAATTTTAAAAATCGAATTTAAAAATTCTAGATTTAATCATTAAACCGCAAATAGCATATAATATTAAATAGAATTCACGGGATTTAATTTTGTGTTCTTAATTCATTTATGACTTCCTCTTTTAGTAGTTTGTAATTTTAATATTGTCAATAACTGAAATCTTATTATTTTTAGCCGCTTACTTTCTCTCCTTCTCAAATAAAAAATAAAAATATTGCACAGAAAAATGTCCATTGTTTCTCTGAACAATACAGGAATTCCCATAAGTCACCACAAAATTGAAGTCATCCACATTGTATTTAAATATTGTTGGCTGTTTTATTGTTTATACATTATCAACTTAGGCTAAACACAGATGGGATTTGGATGTAATACAAGTCGTGTGAGGGTGACTAATAACAAGAATGCAATTATTTGCTAATTGCCGCTTACAAACTGGCGATGATACAATGGCAGCATACGGCTAAGTTAATTTAGGTACATACGTTGTCGTAATAAGACTAATTAGGCTAATGGAAACGCTACTAGGCTTTTCGCTTTGCTACGAGCCGCTTTGGAGATGTTTCGTTACAGTTTCTAAGTTAATTCTTTCCCTCCTCAATCAATTTCTATATACATATCGGTGCTGTGCGCGGAGGTGCTATAACTCTGATCCACCTCAGTATCACTGAGGACGCTAGCATCTGATTCGGGCTCCACATCCAGGCGGGAAAATTGTGGCGCCGATGTTTTACTATCCTCCACATTCGGTGTCTGGGCATCGATGAAAAAGTCTGTAGCGGTTAAGATCGAAAATTACCCATTAGTTTGACTATTCAATATATTGTATTTGGTGAAATGAAACTTTGTAATGGGAGTTAAGGGGAATTGAAGGAAATTTCGATAATTTACCTGCCAATTAAAATATGGACTTAATGCTTGAGTGAATTAAAGATAATGGAGGTGCATTTTACAGTCGTTTAATTTTTGGATAGCTGTGTGATAGTGCTTTAAAAGGCTACGTCGTGTAGTTCAGGAGTCGTGGGCATAATTTGTACTGCAAAAAATGTTCGGTTTGATTCAATTTGCAAATGATACGTTTTCTCTGGATAATGATGTGAATTTCTGACTTGAAAGACTCGTTTTTCTTCGAATACCAACCTGATTCGACGCCATTCCACTCGCTGACCACCGCGTTGTGACTGTGCTGGTGGGGATTGGGGTGATCCTCGACTGAGCCTTCGTATATCTGCAGGTCGGTGGCCAGTTCGTCGTGCTCCGTCATATCGTCAAAGTCGAATATCTCGGTTACTTTCACCTTGTTCGTATTATTGTCGGTGTAGTAATAGGCATAGAGAGCGTCGTTGTGCGTGGTCATCTTGAGGACGTGCTCAAAGTTATCGACATCATCCTCCAGCGGCGTGGCTCCACTAGAACAATTAGTAATAGAACAATTAATTAAACCTTTTCTCTGGTAAGAAATATTTGTTTCTAGCTTACCATTCATCCACAAGAATGGATACACGAGGTCCATATAGACGATTGGAATGCAGAAGTCCAGTGGCATCAAAGTGGGGTTGGTCATAAAGCTGTAATAAAAAGGAATCCCTTAGTACTTTTGGTTTATTTAAATGTGCTTTGACTTTGTTCAACAGACAACTAAAAAAAACGTTGTCATTTGACCGTCTAGCTCTTAACTTTCAATGCACTTTAATTGCATACTTTAGCAAAAGGTAAACATTTAATTAACATACCGTGAATTTATTTAGCAGGCGCATATGCATGGCGTTATTCAACTGAAGAATAAAGTCCTCCACCATTATTCTTGCTTGTTTGGTAAGTTTGGGCGTCAATGCTGATATTCTAAAAAAAAAAGTATAAGTCAAATATTTCAAATTAGGGCTTAAAAAAGGAAATATGAAAACCTACTTTGAAATGGTAGCCAGAAGAAAGTCCATAGGCACTGTGGCGGGCAGGGAAAGTAGCTTAATACCACGATGTTTGAAGATCCAGTTGGCCAGACCCTTATTTGCTTGCTCTATATAGTCCTGGATTACATCCAGCACTGTTTGAGGCATGTTTGAGCTTAAAGCGTCCTGGAACAGCAAAAAATATGTTGTTAACTGTAGCCATAGTTATAGTTTTAGTTTTCATTCTTTACCTTTCTATGCTTTTTGCACTCCCGGCACTCGGGATCGAACTCTTCGGGCTGGGCCACCGTTTCAGAAACGACAAACGTGGACTGGACCGCCACACAACGGCGGCAATTGATTAGATTATTGCGATGCAGGAACTGCAGGGCATCGTCGAATCCCTGCTGGCAAAACTTGGACAGGAACTCGGGACGAGGCGGGAACAGGATCCGCACGAACCGATTGATGTTCTGTCTGGAGATCTCGATGCTGGTGTTGGCCCAATTCAGATGGAACAGCTGCGAGCTCTGATCCCTCGGGCAAATATCACTCTCTCCGCAAAACGGGCTCACCGTAATGGTGTTCTCGTCCAGAATGGGCAGGTTATCCGAGAAGGCTCCGTCCATATAGCGAACTCCACGGAATCGGGGTGGCAGGATGCCAGAGAATCCTGGGATAAAGCAGGCGCAGAGCAGCGCCTGAAGCACCTCTTCCCGCGACTCAAACTCCGAGATGATGACGTTCTTGCCATCGTACACCCGGGTCAGCGATATGTGAAGGCGTCCATTCACCCGCTTGTGGGCATCGTCGGGAAGGTGCTTCTGTAGACCCTCCAGCAAACAGGTCTGGATATTAAAAGAGGGACTGAAGGGACCCAGAGAATACCGACGGGCTTCGTTCACCACCCTGAAGAAATCTGAGGTCATGCTGCCTGTAAAATGTCAAAGAAATTAGGAAAGCTGTTAGTAAAAATTCTAGTTAAACATTAAGTTTAGCTAGTGCTTAACTTTTGATCCCCATTAAGTGTTTAACTTTTGACAGCGATATATTTTAAGAATGACATCAAGAATTATGAGAAGCGTAAACTTGTAGTAATCTAATAGTTGCACTCAGAGTAGATTGACTATATATGTATATATTTATTACCCTTGCTAATCGAGCTTATACAATATTGATATTTTCGGGTTCAGTGGGCTATCTCATCTCGCGTTTCCCCGAGTGCTGATCTACGTCTGATGATGTCCGCGGGTTTTGCGTCATTGTGTCATCCAAAGGGTCAAGTGGTGCTCTTGGCAGTGTTATCGTTGTTGACCATTTCCCGCCCGTTTGTGAGGGAAAATGACGTACGAACCTTGTGTGGTTTGGAATTGTTTGTTTTGTTCTATTTGCTACTCGACCCCCAACGCAGTTTATGGTGCTGATAAGGAACTACGGATCCCACCATATGGTTCAACATGAGTTTATCAATGGAGCAAAAATATGGTGTATTTCATAACAGGTTTCTATCGTACGATTCGAAAACCTTTACTAGTTGATTAGAAAATTAATTGATAAGAAACACAATTTTCACAATTTTATAAATGTAATGAGTTTGCAAAAGATAATGTACAGATGTACAGATGACCACTAAAACTATTTTTTTTTTGTACTGGAATTAAACGTAGATAAGTAAATGTAGATAATTTATGGCTTTATGTACTGATAAAGTTTTTATTGAACCTATGCTCTCATATTGCACCCATAAAAAAATAGTTTCGCATGTACCCTGAGCCATATTGATAAGAAATCAAGCTTCCCATAGTGCCACACGCAAGTACTTTCCAAATATTTTGATTAGATGGAAGCGGAAAGACCAACAGCTATGAAAATGATAAGGTTAAAATATATATACATAAATGAAAGCAAGTACATTTGTGATTTATTCCAAAAACTGACGTAAAACAAAATCAGGCCATCAGACAAGACAAAACGCGGAATAGCGAAAGCCGGGGTTAAGACCCATCTTAAGTTGTTCTATTATGTCACACGATCGATTCCCTTTAATCGTAAATAACGATAGTTGAAAAACAAGTCACATAACGTCCGCGTATCAGCTTAACTATTTAAAGCTACTACGACATTGAGCACTATTGTTATGGATGGAGTTTTGTACCATGGCACTCGAGGGGGTCCCGATTCCAGATAGTTGGAAAACAAGCCATATATATAACGTCCGTTAAAGCTGCTACGACATTATGGATGGAATTTGGAACCGCGCAGAAGAACCCACAAAACTCGTGGGGGTCCCAATTCCCGGTTCTATATCAAATTTGTTTTCGCTTTCCGCTTTCGATTGTCAACAACAATAATAAACTAGGGAGGAAAATGCAAATAAACAACGCTATCGCGTTACGTGTGCAGCTCTCTTAGTTATTTTTGTTTTTGTTTTTCATAGGTAAATAACAAAACCTTGTAAGAAAAGCTCGACAAAAGTGGGCGTTACTTTTCGGGGTTAAATCAATACGCTGAACACCCTTTAACCTTGAATTCTGTGTAATAAAAATATTTTTATATTCGTTACTTTTAGAATAAAAGTAGTAGTTAGTAGTTAAGTGAAGTTTACTATATTTCAACATCAATATATTTTTATATTCGTTACTCTTAGTATAAAGAAGACCCGATAAAGCTGTAAGTCAACTGAAACTATTATCAACGATCTGAGCAACATAAAAAATTAAATAAATAATTTCGGTAATCTGAATCCGAATTTGGCCATTAAAAAAAACCCATTAAATTCTATTAACTTTTACACTGAATGCATGTATTTCAAAATTAAAATTAGTTTGGCTTAAATTGTATGACCCCCACTGCAATTTAAACGAACAGTTGGCCGCTGACGTTACATCAAACTTAACCGCAAGTCAAGTGCAACTAACGCCCACTTTTGGAGGCCGGGAGCATAACGGCAAATGGAAAACAAAACGAAACGAAATTGTAAACAACATAAAGAGGAAAACAAACGAGTATGATACATACATACATATATACAAACAGCTGCACCAAAAATACATTTCTTTGGGGGCTCGACTTCAATGGATAAATAAACATGTTTCCGGGGCATTTCGGAGAGGGAGAGGGAGAAGGGGGAATGGCATACGTATGCAGTTGTTGCTTTCCGAGGAAAAAGAAAAGGCAACAAACTTTCAACATAAAAAAGAGAGATGAAGAGAGGGAGAGCGGCACACACACACCCCCATTTCCGTGGTCTGACCCCCAAAACTCAAGCGATACGCTCTCACTTTAGCGGTCTTGTTCGCTCTACTTAGCCCTATCTCGCTCGCACCGCCCTGGATTAGGGCACCCAAAAACAAAATAAAAGGCCTCATCACGTGATATTGTGGTTGTATTTGAAGAGCACAAAAACCAGAATATCACAATTTTCTGCTTCTTCCGCTTGCGCATAGTTTACCCACTTACACATATTCTACATGAATGTGTGTGCCTACAGTGGGCAAAGTAATTATGTTTACAACATTTCTCTGTATGTTTTATGACTTGTAAGACTTCTTTGTTTCGAGTTTTGTTTGATGGAATCTGTCAATATTTGGAAGCCTTTTCTAACAAGGTTCTTCTTAATGGTGAAAACTTATAGTTTTTATGTTTTTGTCCCATTTTATCAGTACAAGGATTTTAATTCAATCCATTGATCTCAAAATTTATTTTACTTTTTTTGTAAGCGTCAAATTAAACATTTTTAAATCAGTCAATTTTCGATGTTTTCTTGACCTTTTGACTTCGAAAATGTAGTAATTTTCAGGTGCTTTCAATGGAACAAGTTTAATGGTTTCATGCTTGGGAGCTTATTTTAAGTAACATTATCAACCTAACGAACTTTTGCTTAAGACCTCGAAATAATTTGAAAAAAATATTCATTTAAACTTTAATGTATATTTGAGCCCTTAATGTCCATTGCCACAAACTTGTTTTTTTAATATTTTTAAACATCCAAATTATTCAAATAAACGTTACCCCATTGGACATATTTACCACCTTGACTGTACAAGATTACTGTGGGCACCCGTAACACAAATACATTTATTTATATAGGTCACATTGCAATGCCATGAATTCTCTGCACTTGGCAACGGATTTCAGGAAACGTTCGGATATTTTGCTTTCATTTTTTTCAGGGTGGGTTTGGGAGGTCGAAGAGGAAAGAAGAAAGGTAAAATGAATTTTATGCATAGGTTGTGGCAGCTGCTATTTTGGATTTGATTCGAAAAGTATCGTTTAGATTAAAAATGATCTTTTGAAATAATCTTACCCTATCAGGGAATTTTAAAAATAAGTTAACAAATTGAAATTGTCATTAAAATAGTTATTTAAATAAGGTAATATTTTTTATAGTGAACACAAACTTGAAATATTTTAAGAATAAGAATGGGTTACCTACAAAATTATACCTATACCGAGCTTAAGAACTCATAGAAAGCCTTCCTATTTTATTTAAATTGATTCGAAACACGGCTCGTGACCAAGTGTTATCGTGGATTAGTTTTGTGGGCCGCGGAAAGTGTGTCAATCAACAATAATGCTTTCGATAATGATGAACAGCCCCATTTGCATTGGCGATTGATTGTGGGGAGGGGAAGATACTGCACATATAGAGGACCCCGCAGAGCTGATTGTATGATGTATAGGGTGTAAAACGCAGCTGCGAGCCACATGTAAATATGCAGATAGTGTTTGCTTTGTGCTCTAATCATCATCTGGGAATAGGAAACTAAGCCCAATGCAAAATACGTCAAGCGAATGCACCATATAGGCAGTACGGCCATAAAGATAGCGATCAACCAGAATCAAACAAAGAGCTCAATGTGCGACTTAAATCGCGAAACTGCACTTGACTCATATTTTTGTATTACCAGCTGCAACGAAATCGAACCACCACCATTCAAAAACCTATATACTACGTAAGCGAATATCTGATACACCCGCAAATTGGACTTTAAGCGGCGGAAATTGGCAACAAAACATGACTCCCCCATGATAACGTGCCCATAAAGGTAAATCAAACCGATAAGCAATAATATATATATATATATGTAAGTATATTCGTGCCCGCATGCGAACAATGAATTGCAGTTGAGATTTCTAAAATTTCCAGATAGGCGACGGAGGGAACTCAACTGAAGGTCGGCCGTTGGCTTTCCCACTAAAAATAAACGCAGACTAGGTATATACATATTCGTATTTACAGATTTGCATTTAGAAATTGAGCTTATTTGCCTTTTGAACCCGAAAAAAGGGAGAATCCGGAATCGATCAAAACACGGCAATTTTAACCAACTGATAACAACTTGTTTACAAGTGTTCTGTAACTAAGTCATTATTTCAACGTAATCAAAAACAAAATCGCGATTGTCTGAGAGGGAAAACTTTTCACAATAAGAGGGGAAAATTAGAGATATATAGGTAATATGTACATATGTAGTTTGCGGTTCTATCACCCGATACGGTGACAAGTTCGCGTGGCGATCGCCAACTCGTGTTAAAGTGTTTCGAGTGCCAACAACAAAGGGGAAGTGCGGTGAACAGCTGATAATAAATAGGGCCATAAAAGAGCGGTCATGAATGAATAGGTTTATAAAGAGCCAAATGAGGTGGTTTTCCAAACGCCTATCTGAATAACCCTTGGTTTGAAGCAGACTCGACAAAGGAAATGGATAACAATAGTAATAGAATTTATTAGTAAGTATAGCAATAACAATAGTAGTTGAAGTATTAAAATAAACTGGAGCATCCTTACCACTACTTATACAACAATGAAACATTTCGAGCTGAAATTGAACTGGAAAGGTGTTTCTCTTCCATATATCTAATTTAAGTCCATTACACCTTGTCTGGTCGTTTTCTTTTGCACTGTTGGCAAACCCGAAACCATGTAACAACTTTCACAAACCTTATCTGCCGGCGGAACAAATGGTCTTTTGTCTGTGCAACGCTTCTGTACATACATATATATGTACCTGCACTTAGGACCCGAATCCCCCCTTCAAGGCAATTAAACTGCATAAAGTCCAAATTAGACACGCTCTAGACTGAGTAATCAAATAGACTTTGATCAAAATGCAACCGACAAAATTTAATAGTGGCAATTAAAGTGGAAACTGAAATTACAGGAAAACTCTAGTTACCTGCAACAGATGGGCAGACTGAAAAACTTTCTAGCAGCTGAGGGTAAAGATCAGGTAGGTAAAATATCCTACGTGAAAAGCGGAAAATCGGAAGAAGGAATAATCCAGAGTAAGAGTTGTAGAAGTTGTACACTAAAAAGTACAGACACCTAAATAATATTATGAAATGCTTCTATAGAAGATATTAATTATTCAATGATGATGTCACCGCTAAAGTTTATTTGGACATTGGTTTTTTAACAAAGTATTGGAAGATTTGGAGGTGAAAACTAAGTATTCCTCGTGTGGCAACTTCAATGGAATCAAAATCAGGGGAAATCGAGCATATTAAGCCCCGGGGGTGATGATCATCCCATTGGCATAAAAGCAAAAAAAAATCGATTGATTATTTTAATGATCGAACGCTGCCGCCCCTGCTGACGTTATTCCAGATTATAGCTCTCGATTACCCTGGTCAAACGATAAGCCATATGATCTGTACTTTGTTACATAGTAACCATGAGTAATACAGCTGACATTTGTTTTTCCCGCTCGCTAGTTTTGTGTTCGCCCAGTGATTGACATGTTTATACCCACGATACAAACGAAGCGTTGCACAGAAAAAATCGAAAACAAGAACTCGTGTTACAGGCCCACATATATTTCACAGTTATATATAGACCCGATTCCACAATAGCACAGCTTTTGCCTCGAATTCCTAGGCGGCTTTCGATGAACGCGCCTCCAAAGCGTAAACAAAATATATGAATAAACACTCGACCTTCAAGCATCTCGATCAAAATAGGTTTATGTGTGTACAGCTGGGGTCGAAATAATAGTATCTTTTTGTTACAGATGTCAGATTTATTGTTTTTTGAGGGATCGTAAAAATAATTTAAGCAACTCAAAGGATATCTCCAAATCTATTTAATCAATACCTGTTTTTGGCATATTTTTAATAAAACAAAAATACATACAAAATTAAATGAAATAAATTTAGACAAAGACTCTATTGTTTTGCCCACCGCTGTGTTTTTGTGTAGCCCGGCCATTTGGTTACATATTCGGGTGCCGCTTTACAAAGTGCGTTGTCCCGAACTACGAAACTTGTTTTTCTGTTTTCGTGAGGTTTTTCAACTGCGCCGCAGTTTTCTTTCGACAGACGAGCCCCCTTCGAAATTGAACAAACACGCCCAAAAACACACTATCACACACAATTATGACAGACCCCCATTGACTTCCTAGCGACCTACAAACGCAAACAATCTTATCAATTCAATTCAATGCGTTTTATATTGAGCTCCGCAGCATCCCTCTCTCTCTTTCTTGTTCTCTTACTCTTTCTCTCTTCCACTAACAGAGTCACTGAACTGACCAGTGGTTGTTTTTGCATCAGCTGTTTTGCGTTTGTATGTATGTGTAAGTATTTTAAGTGAAAAGGGGAGAGAAACAGCGCAAACAGCAGAGGGGGTGCAGAAAATATTCAAGGGGGATTTTTAGCTAACATAATTGTAGAAAGGCCAAGTTCAGGTTACGCAAAATATTTTTTGCACAAACATAAAGAAATTGATATTGCCAAAGATCGTGGGCCTATCGAAATTTTCGGTTGTCAACGTTTTCTTAACTATTTTTTACAGTACAAATGAATATATATTTTTAAAGTTATTTTTGATTTAAAATTGCAGAATTTTTTCCGCAACCCCTTTGAACCCGCCCATGAAACAAGGGGGCAGAGACTCACCCAATGGCAAATCGCAGAGGAGACAGCAGGCGGCCAAGGAACCGGCCGATGCGCCTCCAATCTTCTCCAGCAACAGATGCGGGGCATACTTCTTGAAGCAGACGGCAACTCCGACGTGGTAAATGCCCAGGAATCCGCAGCCAGCGAATGATAGATTCATGCTTTGGACTCTGCGTTAGACTCTATAAATCGTCTGATGACTGTTTGTTGCTCGCGTCACAGTTTTTTTGTTTCTTTTGTTTTCTAGCACTTTCCACAGAAATTGTTCCACGGAATTGATGCAGCTCCTTCGAAATGGCAATAAATGTGGGCGCGTTTCGTATATATCTCGCTTTGGTGTTTAACACTTTTCGTTGACTTAGAAAATGTACTCCGTACTCGAAACCGAAACGTTGTTGCTCGCGAACCGTTATTCACTCGCTCTGCCGACGGCCGCCCCTTTTATATTTTCTGCTGGCAGTGTGGCCGCGTTCGATGTGGTTATAAAGCCAAAATATGCGTTCCATAACACTGAGTGCGAAATAAGGGGTACTCGATTTTTTGCTGCACTGCAGAATTCCATTAAAATTAACTGTGCAAAAAAAAAAGGGGTGATTTACAAAAACTGTCAATTGTCAAACATTTTGAAGTTATGGAAAAGCTGCAAAATATGAATGTATTACAACATATATATGTTTTTTTTTAAAATACAAAATTGTTAATAGATAAACATGTATTTATACAAAATTTGTTCTCGGATCAATTATAACTTGAAGCTCGGTCAGAAATTGCAAACATAATAAAAATAAGGCCCCAATGATAAAGACCAGAAAAACTTGTTTTTATCGAAACGAGTATGAATAATAAAGTGCTGCTGAGCATCTTCTTTTTAATTGTTTTTCTAAAGTAAGTTATCTTTTAATTAATCCCACTTAACAGGGAGCCAGAGTCCTGTAAGTGTTAACTGTCTCATGGACAAACCAATATTTTTAAACAGGAGCTTTATCTGGCCGAGAAACCGGCCATAAATAATTTAATGGCCGAACGATACTTTCAACCACCCGCAGCCGATATTTCTAATTGCCGCCTTGCGCATCACTAGCGAGTACACATCTAGTACTTTTGTCATCGCTAGTGTCCGGGCTGCAAAAAGACGTATTCATGAAAAAATGGAATTAGCCAAGAAACTACAAGAAGTCGGGTGGTAAGTAGATCATAACAATGTTGGGAGTACTGAGGACTAACGTTTAATGCAGGCACCTGACGGAGGAGGGCCTTAAAGTTCTGACAACAGCGGTTGGCAGCGAAGATACCCGGAAAATTATTGATGAAGCACTGAATGTGAGTTGCAGGCAAACCGGCTGCCTCAAATGTGTATAATTATTAATAATAACCCATTACTCATTTTTTTTAGCGGGATTTGCGTGATATAGGAGGTGGCGCTTTGCCGACAAAACGCGAAGATGCCACTTTGCCCGGAAAAATTGTGTTGCAGGTGCAGAGAGTGAGGAATATAGCCGCCCCCAAGGCGAATGAGGAATCGAAGGCGGCGCCACGCCTAATACAACTCGATCTGAGCGACGGACAGAATTCCATACAGGCCCTGGAGCTGGAGCCAGTGCCCCAGCTGAATCTCAATGTGGCACCAGGGAGTAAGATCTTTTTCAAGGCCGAGAAACTGCAACTGATGCAGGGATTCATGCTGCTGAGATCCACGGAGCTTCAGCTCCTCGGAGGACGTGTGGACGCTCTCTACGAGAAGTGGGATCTTGCCCGAACCATGTTGAGGTATGCGCGAAGTGGTCGTCCTCTAAGTGGCACCTCAGTGCCGCCACCGTGGGTGGCATTTGGACGGAAAATCGATATCACCGCCGAGAGGGAGAGGAACTTCAAGAGCCTGGGTTCCTCGGGCGATAAGGATAAGCCGGTGAAGGAGAACGATGAGTTCAATGCCATGCGCACCGAGGCCATTGCCGTGGCCACCAAGGCAGGCGGCAAAAAGGTATTCGGTGGAGGCGGTCAGAACATCGTCGATCACAACATAAAGAAGATCCTGGACAAGGGCTTCACCGAGGAGGAGGCCCGCAGTGCCTTGCATGCCACCCGAAACAACCTGGAGCGTGCTCTTTTCAACCTAAAACGACGCAAGGAAACCGGAGGCTTGGCTCCCATCGAAACAATGGGTCGTCCGGGACGCGGAGATCGGCCGCCCAGAGAGGGAAAGCGTGGCGCCAGTGCCAAGGACGAAGCTGAGGCAGCCAAGCCAGCTGCCAATGCCACCCTGTTTGATTTCCTCACTAACAAGCTGCCAGCTACGGAGACACCGGCGCCTAGCATCGTAGATTCCTTTGCCGTTGCTCCAGCCGCCCCACCCACTGCCAATCACTTCAATCCTTTCAAGCAATATGGAAACTCGAGGTTCGGCGAGGCGGACAGCCGATCTTCAGCGCTAGGCGGAGGCGGGAAGTTTGGTGATCGTTCGAGGTTTGAGAACAATGTGTCGAGCAGCTTTGCCGCGCATCGTGGTGGACATGCGGGTTCCTCCAGAGGCGGTGGACGCAACCGAGGTGGCGGCAGGGATGAGAGGCCGTCGCGAGACGAAAGACCCCCCAGGGAAGACAGACCACCGAGGGAAGAAAAACCGCCCAGGGAAGAGAGGCCACCCAGGGAGCGAGGAGGAGGACGTAACAAACCCGAGTCCGCGGCCTTAAAAACCTCTAACCGCAATGGGCCAGACAACCCGATGCCCAAAACCAACTCCGAGGTTAAAACAGAACAGGAAACAACCAATGGTAAGGAACACGCCGGCAATCGACGTGGCAGCGATCGAGGCAGCAATCGTGGAGGCTCAAACAGAGGCGAGAATGGCAACGCCAATGGCAGCCGGCGTAAGCAGCAGGCAGTCAGCTCTGGATCGAATTCAGGTAGTGCAACTGCTAAGCCGCCGAACAATTCAGGAGAAGATTTCAATGCCCGTTTGAGCAAGGTAACCGAAGAGACGGCCAATCTTAAGGTGAGCAGTGCTCCCAAGCGAGAGAATCGACGCAAACAGGGTCAAGGACAAGCCAAGGATCGTCAGGCGGGAACGGGAACGGCAACAGGAACCGAAAGCCAGCAGCAGCAATCAACACAGTTGCCTTCGCAGAAGCCAGAAAAGGCTCCAAACAGCCAGAAACATCAGAATCAACACCATCAACAACACCATCACAATCCCCGACACCATTCGCATGCAAACTACAGTCAATTGGCGAATGGCTATACGTACGATCCCAGCAAGATCATGGGTTTCCAGAGCAAGGAGGCGAACGAGTTTGCCATGAGCCTTCTAAAAAGTCAAGGAGTGACGATGCCCCATCAACAGCAGCAGCAGCAGCAGGAGCAGCAGCCACCGACGACTTTTGGTCCCGTTTCAGCCCCAATTCATGGAAATCCTTATGCTCCGCCTGCCCCTGTGTCTGCGCCACAGGCTGCACCAAGGGAGCATTTCGGGATGACGCCTGGAGACGCTTGGATGTGGCAGAAGGGCGACTTGTGCATGGCCAAGTACTGGGACGATGGCAGGGTGAGTTTAAGGTCGCTGAACTTAGATTTAAATTTAAACTGAACTTATAAAACTTAAAATGTTTCTAACCATATTCATGGCATATGGCAGCTGCTGTACCGATTTATTTAAAAAAACTCTTGCAAATAATACAAGAATATAAATAGAATAGAATAGAATAGGTACAAATATAGTATTTCATTTAAATTTATTTCCCTACAAATTAAAATTGATAATTCAAATAATGTTATATTTTAGTATTATGAGGCTGAGATCACGGGAGTGTCGGAGAAAACTTGCGTGGTCTTTTTTATGGGCTATGGCAACCACGAGGAGGTGCTCAAGGTGGACATTCTGCCCATTACAGATGCACAAAATAGGCCACTGAGCAATGCGCCCCAGCAGCAGCAACATCAACAGCAGCAACATCAACATCAACAGCAGCAACAACAGTCACGCTACCGCGGAGATCGCCAGGCGCAGCAGCAGCAAGTCTACGTACCGCCCCACAAACGAGAGCATTGAGACAGCCTGTTTACAAACGTATTTAAATTAATTGAAATGTTTCGAATAAACAACTTTACAGTGTATTCAAACTTAAAGCCATGGATTTTATTAAGGAGAAACGGATTTGACAATTGTTTCAAATTTTAACAATTTTCTAAAAGGACTTGATCTTCTTTAGCTCTAAAATAATTGCAAGCTATTTTTTTAGTTTTAAAACTACGGATTAAAGGAGTTGAAAAAATGAGAATATTCCATTATACGTTTCTAAATCTTTAAAAATAATGCACAAGCATTTATTTCAATCATTTAGATCAAAATATATCTATAAATGGACGCAAACACAAAAAATCATTGTTTTTGACTATAATTTGTAAAATTTTATTTTTATTTAAAAAACGAGTTTGACGAAAGTTTATATACCCTCTTTAAATCAACAATTTTCCGATTTATATGCCCAAATGTTTAACTACAGAGAGGCTATTTCCGCTAAATTATTCGATCGTTGCTATGGCAGCTATATGACACCGTTTTCTGATTTTAATAAAGTGAAAACCGTAATTCTGAAAAAAAAATTATTACCATTTTTCGAAGTATATTTAAATTAATTAATAAACAGCGAATCTATTTTGTTCCCATAAGAGCTATATGAAGATATATAGTCGTTCGATTTAATTGAAACTAAAACCGTAAGTCTAATATTTTTAACAATTAATATATATCAAATAATATTTTTAAAAAAATGAAAACCAGCGAAGGGATAATATTTTTTTTATTCATTAAAAAAAATGAAAACCAGCGAAGGGGTAATATTTTTTTTTATTTTTTTTTTTTACTATTTTTTTTTTGATATTTATAAATGCTTTAAATGGAGTTACTTTTTATGGTCGCCAGATTTTAACAAAGTTGGCTCGTTCCAACCTATATACTATCTGCATAAAAAAGACAATTTTGTGGAAAGTCTAAGTCTAGATAACTTTGAATCTAAGAGAGACTAATTTGCACAGAACAATGGACATGACTAGATCGATTCGCCTAGTGATGTTCATCAATAATATATATACCACCTGCAAAAGAAAGACCCAAAATTGAAAGTTGTATCTAGATAGCTCTTAAACTAAGAGAGACTAGTGATGCTCATCAAACATTTATAGAAACCTAATAGGTTCTGAAATGTCTTCTTCACTGCGTTGCAAACTTCCGACTGATTTTATAATATCCTCGGCAAGGGTATAATAGTAAACCAAAAATTTATGTTCCATCCATGTTTTTGAACTCGATTATTTGCCAGCCCCATTTGTTATCGACCGTCCCTGGTTTCTGTAAGCGCTTTTCAGCACTGGTGCATTTCGCGAAATTTTCCTCACTACATACATAACTTATTTTTAATTTCGACGTTGTGCATTTTCTCTCATGTGCTTAGCCATGTAAAATTGAATTAGTGTATAAACAATAAGAATTAGTGCAAAGGTAATTGAAAAGTGTGGATGCAAATGGAAAACCGAAATGGACAATAAATTGAACAGCAAAGTTGCAGCTGGCTGGCTGACTTGCGATAATCGCGCTGGAAAAACTAAACCGCTGCCTTTGCTGAGCATGCAAAATGATTAACGAGCTTTATAAAAAACTGACTAATCATATAAAAGTGCAATGCGGTCATTTGCATGTATTGTGTTCATATAAGTTGCCGTTTTTATATGGCAAAATCATCCTGTAGTGTATGCGACAGTGTTGTCAAATGGGCGTTTGGTGTTGCAAAGGACTGCAGCCGATACTCGTCATTTGTTTTGTGGCATTTTTGGGATATATACGGCGAAAAAAGGCCAAAATGTCTTAAATATACAATGCCAATTAAAATGTGTAATAATAATAATATCAGGAGAAAATTAAATATAATTTAAGCCACCATTAATTGCCACATGCGATATTCGGCGGAGAGTGTATGCGCCCTTAACCAACACTGGCGACTGTCTGCTGTTTTCAGCACGTAAAAAGAAAAATGGTAAAAGAAATCCTTCTCATTTCTCGGAAATTATGCTAAATAACATTAAAACACGCTTAATCGATAGCCAGTCTTATAAACTATGGAAAAACCAAAGAAAAAATTATGAAATGTGCTTTTGTTACGTCTGCAAGCAAATGAAAAGGCAACGCCAGGCCATGAAAATCCGCCCGTGTATATAAAAAAAGAAAGAAAAAACAATATTAAATAATAGTGCGAATAAATTTAATGCAATTGCATTTGCTAACAAATCAGCCGTCGCCATTTGTTGTAAATAATACCCATTTACCGCCGCATATAAATAAAAACCGCACAACAACAAAACGCACACACACACGCAACAACAAAAAAAGCAGAAAAAAAAGAGCAAGCACCTACAAATAAAAAAAAGAAAAGAAAAAGAAGCAACTCGAAAATTACTTTTAATTATGCTTGCAAATTTTCTCGTTCTCAGCAAGTGTTTTCCCCATTTCCCCCCTCTGAGTTTTCCACCCCCCTTTTGTGCCGGTGCGAGAGTGAAAATGGCTCTTATGAAATTTTGCGTAACCGAATTAGAATGAAAATTGTGTAAATCGAAAAATAAAGACGGCAAAAGGAGCACTTTGGATTGGATTGTTTATCACACACACTGGCTGTAGGCGGCTCTATAAATCCGTCTGCATATACTATACACACACACAATTGTTTGGGATCCGATAAGACCCGAGCAGAAGCTATTGCCCAGATATAAACAATTTCTGTTTTGGTCCACACAACTCGGCTTCAGCAGACAATTGGAATTGCATTTAATCAAACTGGGAAATATTATTTACTAGTAAATTTCTTGAGTCAACGATGCTAAATAAATAAAGTCCACGTGGATAAATGGAGATCCTAAATTTAATAATAACTGAACCATGTTAATCATGGCCAAGAACACCTTTAATAATAATAATAATAATAAAAATAAAAAAAAATAAAAGAATATCCATGAAAAAAATGTAAAAATATAAAACAAATTATAAGATATTAATTTCTCAAAAATATATAAACCAAAAACTGACAAGTAAATTGTGTAAAAAATACTTTAAAAATATATTTGCAACTTTATAAACTAATATGTCCCAATAAAATATATTTTTGTTATATGATAAATAAATATAAATCAAGTAAAGTAATAAAAACCTTCAACATTGGAAGGAGGACAAAATCACAGTATCACAACTATACTAATCGTTATAAAGAACCATATAAGATACAAATTTTAAAGATCGAAAAAGTCACAAACCAAATAAAAATTGTATGAAATAATTCAAATATCTTTATTTGCAGTAAACATAATGCCCACAAAGTATCTAAACCATTAATGTAAAAACGATAATCGATTTCTTAATATTAACCACCCAAAATTGTTATATTATGTAAGTAATAATTAAAAAAAAAAAAAACTAACATTTTATTAATGATTTTAACACTTACCCAACAGAATCACCCTAGAAATTAGACGAGCGATCAAGACAAGGACCTAAAACAGCGACACATGCATGAGTGACCACCCGGAGGATTACCCAAAAACCAGCCAGTAAACGATGGCCGCCGAGAAGGAGATGCAGGCCCACGACATGGTCCGCCGGCGCAGTTGGGCCCGTGCCGTGGCGCTCTACGACCAGCTGATTGCCCCCAATCCCGGCGCCTTGGGTTCGAGGGCCCAAAAGGACCAGCAGATCGCCTGCCTCCTGGGCCGCTGCGAGTGCCTCCTCGAGTTGGGCAAGTTCGAGGGCTGCCTGGCGGATGCCTACAAGGTGCTCACGCTACTATCCGAGCAGACCGAGTGCCTGGCCAGCGTGTCAAGAGCACGAAGATGGCTCGTCCACGCCCTGTTCAAAATGCACAAGTACGGGGTAAGTACGGATCGGGATTACTCCCTCATTTTGATTGATTTTATCCCCATAAATAACTTGTAACCCTTGAGTTTATCTCTAAAAACAATAACATTCTTATGAAAAAGATAATTTTGGCAACATTTTACAAAGCTAACTAAAACAAATCTAATTTGTTTTTAGTAAATTGAGTAAATATTTCTCGATTTCTAAAAAAGCATTTTCGAAACTTACATTGTATTCACTTTAAACATTCTAAAAAAAATATATTCAAATTTCAAATAATACACACTATTAAATTTTTACATTAATAAATTATACTTATCTTTCGTTTAGGATGCTGAGATCTTCCTGAGCAAGTGGATCAATGAGCTGAGCGGCCAGCAGATATACTCGGACATATCCAAGACCCTCGAACGTTACAAGTCCATCATTCAGATGATCATGAACGGGCAGCACAAGGCGCAGGCCTTGAAGATACCGCACGCCCGTCTCGAGGACGAGATGGCCATACTGGACACCAAGCTGGATCACTGGGCAACCAACAACCTGCCGCTGGACAAGTACAGCAAGCTGCTCAGCAACAAGGGTTTAAAGAAGCGGGAGCAACAGCAACAGCAGCAGCAACAACACCAGCAGCAGCAACAGCAGCAGCAAAATGGCAATGGAATCGGTAGCTACGCAAGTAGCAGCAGTAGCTCCTCCACGGGCAGCAGCAGCACCATGTCCAGCTCCAGCACAAGTCTCCACAAGACCAACGACCTGCTGGCGGCCATGAAGCTTACGGCCGGCAAACACCAAACGGGATCCGGTGACGGATCGGGCTCCGATCAGGGCGATCAGGCGGCCCCATCGACCACCTGTAGCTACTGCACCATCACCTTCCAGACGAGGATCGAGCTGCGACAGCACTGCCAGACCGAGGCCCACCAGAAGGTGATCATGAGCGATGAGGGTGAGTACCGAAGGGGATTTACAATAGTACTTCTATATGATACTATCTTCCCAAGGAGCCATGGAAAATCAATGTTCATTTACTGCATTAAATCAAATTAGCTTAATAATAGAAGTTTACTTTAAGACTAAACCAATTTTGTTGGAAAAATATGAGCAAATTGGATCTTTCTGGTTACGGTCAGATTTATGATGCATTATAAGTGCTAAAATTAGAAAGCCAAATTACAATTGTGAAGGTCTTTTTTGTTATTTTATGGGGTGCATTTTTTTTTTTTTTCAAAAGATAAATGTCATGTTTATACGCATATTTTGCCAAGTTTTTGAAGCAATATATTTATTTCGAATTGTGACGACAACTAAATGATATTACACCTTAAACTTACTTTTTTGTATATTTTCAAAAAAAACTTCACTGAAAACATGAATTTCCAATCACTCAAAATATATTATGTATTACCTTTCCGATCAGGCCGCGACTGGAAGTGGCGTCCACCGCCCCGTGGCTACACGCTGGACACCTATTCCCTGTGCGAGACGTTCAGCGAGGCGCACACCTGCCACTACGGCGCCCAATGCGTGGAGGCTCATGGCCAGGATGAGTTGAACGAGTGGAAGGAGCGTTTCGAGTATCGACGGATGCGGATGCAGAAGGCCTGCGAGAAGGAGCTCTATGGCAAGTCGTACACGGAGCAAGTGCTGGAGCGATGGATCCAGGCCACGGCACCGGAGCGAGTGATGTGCGAACGGGTGCCGGATATGGAGGCGCGTTGTGAGCAGCAGCTGGTCACCAGCATCAGTTCGAAGACATCCAAGCGGGAGTGGCTCTTCCAACTGGAGACGCAGAAGCCTCTAAAGGCGGTGGCCCTCCTCCAGGATGCCCATCGCAATCACTTTGCCCTCAAGTCCATCAAAATGTGCAAGCCAACGGAGTCCAGCATGGAGCTCAAATCCGATCAAGAGTGGGTGGCAGTCGGCTCCGCTCAATCGGAATCTTCCGGCGACGACTCGTCCAGCATTGTGACCCATGAAATCACCATAGAGTTTCACACAGAGATCTATGGAACCTTTCGCCAGGCCATCTGCTTCGATGTGGGCCAGGAACCATTGCTCGTTCGGCATTTGTGCGTGGATGTGTTGCCCGTAAACGATGCGGAGAAAATCGAGGAGATCAAGCGGGACATCATCAACAGCTCGGCCACCCGATGGGATGTGGCCAATACGCAACTCACACGTTTCGAGACCACAATTGGAACACATCTGAAGACCGAGGCGTATCTCAGCGATCTGGAGCATGAGCGGGAACTGCTGGAGAGGTATCCCTGTCCCAGGGCAGCTACCTTCACACTGACCCAATCGACCATTGTGGAGAAGCGGTTGACGCAGAACAACTACCGCTCCCGCATCCACGAGTTGTTGTCCGTGGAGGAGATTGCCCGCTATGAGCAGATAGCCAGGTATAATGTGAGGACCCGTCTAACCGTCGCCTCCAATTACATCCTCACGCCGGCGGGAATGGCGACCAGCACAGCGAAGTATTCGCTGGCCGGCGAATTGTTTGCTCTCATGCGTTTGGGCAAGGACATCTCCGAGGATACGTCGCCTGGCCGATTGATTCTGTCCAACTGCAGCAGCGTGTACATCTCAAAGCCGGAGGAACCGGATGCCAAAACGGATCCAAACCAGCGTGCAGTTTACGAGGCTCTGATCGAGGATAAAGGAAAGAATGTGATTTACTTGAAACTATCCGCCAAGTGTGTGGAGGCGATGGCTCTGCAGGCGGACACCGAACTGGATGTGGACATACAATTCCAACTGAACCGTATGCCCTACTGCGAGTGGCACAATGCAGTGGACAAGATCACCGATTTCCGGCTAATCTTTCCGGCCACCGAACTGGAACCGAGCATACCGTGGACCCCGAAGAAGCAGTGGGCCGATGCCTGCGAACCGAAGTTGAATGCCAAGCAACGGGAAGCGGTGAATGCCATCACCACGGCGCTGAGCATCAAGTTGCCGCCAATCCTGCTTATCGGACCCTTTGGAACGGGCAAAACATACACACTGGCCCAGGCCATCAAGCAGCTTCTGGCCCAACCGGAGGCCAAGATCCTGATCTGCACGCACTCCAATTCGGCAGCTGATTTGTACATCAAGGAGTACCTGCATCCGTGGATCGAGGAGGGTTTGGAGGAGGCCACGCCGCTGAGGGTTTACTACCACAAGAGATGGTCGGCCACCGTTAATAGTGTGGTGCAGAAGTACTGCATCACCGATGGCGTGGGCAACTTCAAGCGACCCACGGTGGAGGACATAATGCGGCACCGGATTGTCGTGGTTACGCTGAGCATTAGCATGGAGTTGGCCACGCTGGGACTGCCCAAGGGTCTCTTCACACACATCTTCCTGGACGAAGCTGCCCAGGCCATGGAATGCGAGGCCATTATGCCGCTGGCCTTGGCCAATGACTCGACGCGAATCGTTCTGGCCGGAGATCACATGCAGATGAGTCCCGAACTCTTCTCCGCCTTTGCCAAGGAACGCAAGCTGCACATTTCGCTGTTGGAGCGACTGTATGATCACTATCCCTCCAATTTCCCGTGCAAGATACTGCTGTGCGAGAACTATCGGGCGCACGAGGCCATCATCCGTTTCACCTCGGAGCTCTTCTACGAACAGAAGCTGGTGGCCTCCGGCAAGCAGCCAAGGCACGAACGCTTCTATCCTTTGACCTTCTTTACGACTCGAGGCGAGGATGTTCAGGATAAGAACTCAACGGCTTTCTATAACAACGCCGAGGTGTACGAGGTGGTGGAAAGGGTGTCCGAGCTGCGAAAGCGTTGGCCCAGTGCTTGGGGCAAGCTCAATGACACCAGCATCGGCATTATGACTCCCTACGCCGATCAGGTGTTCCGCATTCGTTCGGAGCTGCGTAAGCGACGCATGGGTGGCATATCCGTGGAACGTGTGCTCAATGTCCAGGGTAAACAGTTCCGAGCCGTCTTCCTGTCCACCGTACGCACCCGACGCACCTGCATGCCACAGGGAAGTGCGTCCGGAGCAGCGTCCACGGCCAGCATTGGCGATGCCGACACGGACTACGGTTTCCTCAGCAACTCCAAGCTCTTGAACACGGCCATCACTCGTGCCCAATCGCTGGTCGCGGTGGTCGGTGATCCCGTGGCTCTGTGCTCCATTGGACGCTGCCGCAAAGTGTGGGAACGCTTCATCGAGATCTGTGACGAGCACAAGTCACTGTTCGGTCTGACCTGGTCGAATCTGCGTTCCCAACTGGATGGCGTGGAGCTGAAACGTGGCTATGTCCTCAATCCTCTGGCGCCGGAGTTTGTCCCACGTGCCCTGCAACCGGAGGCATATCTGCGCGAGCAGGCCGCCCTCTATCTGAACGGACCGCAGCATGGACACGGTGGTGGTGGTGGCCATGGGCCACCAGGTCCGCCGGCTCATTTCGCAACGGCAGCTGGGATGCTGGGTCCCGGACCGGCGGCCACCGCCCATCAGATGAATCAAATGGCCGCGGCCATGGCCAATCAGCAGCTCTCCCACATGTACTCCACACACATGGCAGCCATGATGGCCGCCGTCGTTGGAGGAAAGTCCGGGAATGGACCTGGCCCGGGAGCCGGAGGAGGTCCAGGTCCTGGTCCAGGTCCACCACCACATTACGGCGGTGGCGGAGGAGGAGGCGGCGTCGTCGGTGGAGGAGGAGGAGGACACATGGGAATGCGTGGACCACCGCCGCAGGCACCACACTTACGTGGCATGCCACCCGGTGGACCGCCACCCACTCAGCCGCCAGGAGGCGGAGGAGGAGTAGGAGGAGGAGGAGTAGGAGTAGGAGTAGGGGGCGGACCACCACCACCATATGGACAATACCCGGCCATGCAGCACTGGCGGCCACCGCAGCAGGGACCAAATGGGCCGGGACCAGGACAGCAGCAGCAGCAGCAGCAGCCACCGCAGAATCCCAATGCCAGCCTGTGGGGTCCACCGCCGCAGACGAATCCGTGGAGTGTGCTGCCGCCCAGCAGCAAGCAGCCACAGCAGCCCCAGCCGCCGCCAGTGAGTGCACCGGGACGTGGACCGGGACCAGGACCAGGACCAGGTCCTTTGCCACCGCCACTTAATGCCAATCCATCGCTGCCCTTGCGCGGAGGCAGTGTACCACCGCCGCCGCCAAACGCTTCGGCGGCCGCCCAGCTGCTGAGGAATCCGAGTGAACTGGGCTATCTGGCCAAGAAGACGCTGTACAATCATGGCCAGGCGCCGCCACATCATCAGCTGTATGGACCCGGGCCAGGACCCGGTGGTCCGCCTCCGTCGCAACAACAACAACAGCAGCAGGCGCCGCCGATGGGCATGCAGCGGGGTAGCAGTGTGCCCAACGGACCCATGTCGCCCATGGAGAACGGACCGCCGCCACCGCCGCCCTATTTGCGGCACAACGGAAGCGGCTACAATCCAGGAGCACCGCCACCGCCGCCACAGCAGCAACAGCAACAGCAGCCGCAGCCACCACCACCCAATCCGTTTATGTATGCCGGCAAGCAGCCGTCGCCGAGCTCCATGAGATTCGGTCCGCTGACGCACGAGCTACTGCCCCCCAATGTGAGCATCTACGAAATGGCTTTAAATCCCAAGGAGGAGCAGTACAAGTGGTATCTCAAACTGCTCGAAACTGTGGGTCAGGAGGGTGCCAATAAGTTTGCGGACATGTTGCGCCAGGTGATGGCCACACTGCAGCAACAGCAGCAGCAGCATAAGCCACCGCAGCAACAGATGGTCAACAATCCGATGCTGAACAATCCACATGTGCAGCGGCCACAATATCCCATGCTGTATCCACAGGGCCAACAGCAGCAGCAACAGCAGCAGCAGCCACCTCAGCAATCCGTGGACGCTTCACCGCCGCTGGAGAATTTCAACCAGCAGATCGATCTGGTCTTCAACTCCATCATGAACGGGGCCAATGACATTGCCCAGCCCATACTGCGGGATGTTCTTGGCATGGTGGCTGGCACGGGCAATGCCCCCGGTCCTCCGCTCAGCAATGGTTTAAATGGAGCCGATCTCCAGCAGCAACAGCAGCAAAGTCGCCTGTTCGCCATGATGCAACAGCAGCAGCAACAACAGCAGCAACAGCAGCAGCAACAAGCGAAGCCTCCACCAGGACCTGGTCAACCGCTGTATCCCAATCACTTTTGTGGACCTGGGCTGCACCAGGCTCAGCTCAACGGTGGCGGCAACAATCTTGGCGGCGTCGCTACCACCAACTTTATGGCGAACGGTAAGCAGAGAATTTGGATTTGGAGGAGCGGATCACCTCTTTTGGCCTGAGATTTATCGTGTGTTAATTTTACGTTGTTAAAATGCAGTTTATATTGTTTTGGCAGCTTTTCAAGTGTTTTTCCGGTTAGAAAGTATTTTGAAATATATAATATTCTTGTTAAGAAGGGATATTGTGGGGTACTGTGCAATTGGGGGTATCAAAATTAGAAATTTTGTTGTGAGAAAGGCAAGATTAATAGATATATTTATATAGATGTTTACATTATAAAGATTACATAGATTATTAGATTATAAAGGTTAGATTATACAGATTATTACATTATATAGATTATTAGATTATATAGATTATAAGATTATTACATTATATATTATTATAAAGTCGAGGCAACTTTAATCAGATCCTATTTGTTTCCTAATGCTATTGAATGCCAGTGATCTTAATGATTATTTATATGTATATCCAATTTACTTATGAAGTCATTCTGAACCATTACTAGGGTATCCTAAATTTTATTTAATTTTAGAATTTATGTTTTATTTTTTTTATTTACTTTTTCGTGTTTTTTTTTTTTTTTTTTTTTTTGCCTTAGAAGAAATTGAAGAAGTGACAGTTTTGAGGAAAACGATTAGGAATCCATTTCCTGTTAAACGGTTTGGGAAATGTAAGAATTAAATTAAGAAATTAAAGTTCTGATTCTTTCAATGTTAATCCTTATATTTCTCTATCGTCTAGCTGGCAATGCTCTGCTGAACGACAAGCCCTACAACAACCTGAACATGCACAACAACGTGGGCGTGAACAATGCCGGAGTTGGCGGTGTCGGAATGGGAATCGCCGGCGGACACAACAATAACAACAGCAACAACAACGGAATGCTGAGCAATGGCAACAACTCGGTGCCGCTGTACCGCCGCCAGGCGCTGGCCGGAAATGGGATTGGAGGCGGAGGCGGAAACGGAAACGGGGGCTTCAACAACATGCACGGACTGGACACGGGAGCCAATCTGATCGAGGCACTCTTCCAGGCCAACAACTCGGTGGTGGATCACTCGGTGAAGTCGTCGGATCACATGCACGGCCTGCTGTACAACAACTTTAATACGCTGAAGGGGGGCGGTCACGACGTGGACCTGTTCCAGGCCATGGCGCCCAGTATGCCCCACTCGGAGGCGGCCAATCATCACCAGCAGTCCTCCGGCTCGTCGGCAACCACCTATGCGGCTGTGCTGAGCCAGGGGCCCCAGGCGGTGGTTGGTGGTGGCGGTGGCGTTGGCGGTGGGGCAGGACCATCGGCGGGACAGGGGCAGGCGCAGGCGGGCGTGGCAGGAGCCGGGGCGGGCGGCAAAGGCTCGCAGGCGGGGGGCGGAAGTGATCTCCTAGAGAAGGATCCGTTTGCGGCCATCCGGGAGTTGGGACAGGCCACGACCGGATTCTACAACTACTTTCAGTGAGAGGCGGCGACGGCAGCACATCTCCTGCTGTGGCATCAAAGGGTCTTAATCTAAAAAAAAACAAAAACGAAAAACAAAAGAAAAAACAAAACAAAAAAAAAACAGAAAATTAACAACCAAAAAAAAAAAATTGCAAAATTCTTAGCTGAACAAAACAAAAAAAAACGTAAAAAATGCCCCAGACAATGGGAAAAAAACGGAAGAGAAAACAAAAAAGAACTGCTTCTTAATTATAGTTGCCCCTATCCTTATTTTTTTGCTTTCTTTTAAATTGCAAATTATTTAATTACGGTAGCCTTAAGTTGAAAGTGTGAATTATTATAATTAATTAATAATATACATACATACCTATTTAGTTAATGTTTAGTGGTTACTAAAGCTCGCCCAAATGCCGCAGCAGGGATTTGTTGACGTTGACCTTTGGCCATCCACCATGTTACCCACTCCCCCCTGCCACGCCTCAATGCCCAAGGTCGCCGCAGGCGCCTCCATCGGTTCGCAGCATCCAACGGGTTGCTCTGAGCAGCCCACAAAAATAATAATAATAAACGTCTACACAAGAAAACCTTATCGATTAGACTCTTGAAGCAAACAAAAAAAAAATTAAAAAAAAAAAGTTACAAAAAAAAAAACAAACAAACAAAGATAAAACCACAAAAAAATGAAATAATTATGTAATAACTATAAACTGCAAGATGCATAGTTAGCTTTAGATGTAAGATTATTCAAGAGAACATTTGTATTGTACATTTTTTCTATTTTTAGAGCGTAGCATATTTGCTACGTAATCCTTCTCCGTTCGTTTTCTACCTTTAGTTTATCAGTTATAAATTTCAATTTTGTACAGAAGTTGACTATTCAAAAACAAACACAAAAAAAAAAAAACAAAAAAAAAACTATTAACAAAAAACATTAAAACTGAAAATTTGTCACGCACTCAAATATATAAATTATTATCCTTATTAACTGTAACTTCAGATTATATACCTATTATATATATTTAATGGCTATAAGGGATATGAACATTTTTGTGTACGAATTAAACATACTTACCTACATACGAACATATATATATATATAATACGCATATAAATATTTAAATTTGTGCACGAGTTATTTGTTCCTCTCCCCATCCGAAATTGTCGATGCGTGTGTAAATTATATTACGATTGTTGAACACCCCAAATTTGCAGCCATCGCCCCTGAATCCCCAACAAAAAAAAAAAAAAAAAAAAACCCACCCACTCATCGTTTAGTCCGATCTGACGACTGGTAAATGTAAAACATACGAATGATAAATGCAAATGCAGAAATATAAGAATTTTTCGATAAGAGTATTTAACCGATCTTTGAGTTTTATCGTAGTATTTTGGCTAGCGACTTGGATAGCATAAACATATTAACTTTATATAACTGTAATTATTTAACCATTGTAACGCATAACAAACTAAAAAGCGAAAAACAAAAAAGAACGAAAATCACACAATTTAATAAACAAGAAATTGTACTTTTAATAATACCACCCCCGCCCCTCCTCCTCTCATGTCATTTGTTAAACGATTCTTCTAGGAAATCCATTGCATACACGAACACATTTAGTGTTAAATTATATGTAAATTTAGACACCACACATACAGCAACTAACTAAAAACAAAATAGCAGACACCACACATCATCGAGCACGACAAGAGAACAGAACCCAGAAGCCTAACGAAATTCCTCCATTTCAACTGTATTGTATATGTAAAACAATTTATATGAAACCAGCTACGCTGAAAATACTTATAAAAAAAAATTCACAAAAAAAAAGAAAACAAAAAAGATCCCCAAGGGACAACAAAAAAAAACAAAACAAAAAAATTTGCAATTTTGGATTTTTTTGCCGGCAACTAGTTTTCTTATTTTTCAAATATTTTTCACTAGCCCATACTTGATACTTGAGTTAATCAAGAGTTTAAAACTGATTTATGTTGGAAAACTTAGTTCAGCATACTTGTTTAAAGTAGGACTGCTTACAAATAGGTTTATTAGATTCAGTTATTAAAATTATTCTGGTGCTTCTGATTTTAATAAGATGTTTGTAAATCAGTGAAGAACAAGTATACGATTTTGTAAAGCATCGTCAGGCCTATAGATATTGAAGTCTATTATTTTTTAAATTTACATATCCTCTATCTATTTTTTTTTGCTGGAAAACCAGGTTTAATAAGTTTTGTTGATCAAATTTGAAGAATCGTTTTCCATTTTTAGTAAAAATTCAATTACATTTACATTTTGCTTAAATGTCGCCAATACTGAGGACCTCGTAAAACCCTTAAGCATATAAAGCAATTACAAACAAAGACGAAACCTTTTTTGTTGGTGCCTAAAAAATGGCCACTCCTGGCGTTTATTAGTAGGATTCCTTTACACTTAACTAGGTACTTAATTAGCAGAAGAAACTAGGGCTACAGGTCTAGACAGGAATATACAGCCCGGAGAGCTCCTCCTTGACCTCGTCGTACAGATCCTTGTACTCCTCGTTCTGGCGGATCAGCAGGGCGACTGTACCGCGCTTCACGCCCATGGCAGCACCCAAATCCGCCCGACTTGGTGTGTAGGCATATGGAATGCCCTTCTCCTCGCAAACGGCGGGCAAATGGCACAGGATGTCAATGGGAGTCACATCGCCAGCGAAGATGCAAATGCTGTGGGCCACGGAGGGTCATTAGTTTGTGCACTTCTGGCGGGGATTGGCCACTACTCACCCGGTTTCTCCTTTGCGCAGGCGAGTCTGGACATCCTTTAATCCGTTTCGCAGATAGGTCTTGTGCTTCATCGCCTTTTTCACCAGTTTGTAGCACTTTTTAGCCAGTTTCTTACCTGCCATCGGTTTGGCAATGGCGTTGACGAAGAGCATCTTGTCGTCGTAGGACTCCTCCTCCTTGATGGAGACATCGCCGCTGACCACTACGGAGTCATCGGCATCCTCGGAACGCTCTACTTTAACTTTCACCATTGTGTTTTAGTTAAAACGTGGATATTTTGTTTAAACTGCAGGTCTTCTGGACAAACACGTGTTCAGAGTGACCGCAGCTTGGATTTTGGAAAATACCATCCGACTCGAGAAAAAAAATGCCGAAAAAATACCATATTTACTTAGAAGGCCCGTGGTCAGCAAAGATCATCACCATGGTTGGTGCCTATGCTAATGTCCTACACTGAAACAAAACAAAAGAAGTATATATGGTATTCGTTGAACAGTGTGTAACAACTGGTAGAAGGATGGGTCTCTGACCTTGTTATCTATATAGATTCTTGATCAGTTTTAAAATAACGAATTTCATATTTTGTTTAAGAATCATAGAACATCTTATAGATATTAAGTTCAGCAAGAGTTACAGACTTAAATAAGTATTCCGAATGGTAATTGTGAAAAGAATAAAGCCATATATTTAGGCTTTTTGTGAGCATGGCATTTCTGTTATCAATTTCAGGGAGTTTCTTTGTCCTGTCTTTTAATTAAAACACATCATTTCAAGCTGAACTTCTATTCTTACATTAAACATTTATTAAAACTGACATACAAATTGACACCCATAAGACATAAAACATTTAAAATGCGCATAAAATTACAATTAAAAGAATTGCTTGGCCAACTGGATAATGTTCAAGGCCAATCGGATCTCTCGGGCGCCGCGAACGCCCAGCGCAGCCAAATCCTCCAAGGTCATTTGAATAAGCACCTCGATGTCGATCTCCTGGCGAGTGAATAGTTCGGATAGATGTTCGTTTCCGGTGCGGTTCAGCAGGGATTTGACACGGGGACTCAAAGTGGGATGCTCCACCGGGGAGCCGGGCTTGTAGCGTGGCGGATGCCTAGTACTCGGCTTAGGGCTCTTGAAGTCCTCTTTTTTCACTCTGGATGCCTCGCTTTTTAACTTGGATGCCTCCTGCTTTAGCCGCGTCTCCTGCTGCAGCCTGACATCCAACTTCTCCCTCTTTGTCCGTAATTTCGAATCTATCGAAATGCAGGATTGGCCTGCTGGTGTGGATTCCCCAGCAAGAGTACTTTGACTCGTTGGCGAAAAAACCGATCGCGTGCGCATAAATTCTTTGGAGAAACGAGTGGGAAAACTACTATTTGATAAGCCCTTTTTTGATGGTTGTGGGTGTCGGCGTGATGGAACCGTAAGATTATTGGCCTTCGGGATCCCAAAAATTCCATATCTCGCGTTATGCTTCCTACCACCGCCAGTAGGCGTGACTTCGTCAAATGTAAAAGCTTCTTCGGTGGCAATTGGTGTTAATGGCGCCAGTGGAGACCCGGGATCTGTTAAAATTATAATACTTGCATATTTGCATTTAGTTTTGTAAACAATTTAAGCGCAATTACCTCTAAAGACACGATTGTATCGATCCATTTTGTAAATTTTATAATTAGTTTTTCACGAGCACAAAGACGACAAAAAAGTGAAGAAGTTATTGGAAAAAAGAAGTTACTGTAATTTAAAGCTTTGTTAATGTGACCGCTTTAAAATTGGTTGAAATTCCTAAATACAAATCGATCTGGTAACTTTTCTTAAGTCTAGTACTCAGATCGACGAAATCCGTTAGACAGCAATGAGGAAGCGAGATGCAAATAACTTGCAAACACTTTTGGTGGGAAAAAAATTATAGAACATTGCATAGCGTTGCCATGCGTCAGAAATTAACATTGGGCCGTTTGGTCGTTTGTCAGTTGGGAGTTAGCAGAGTATTTCTGGGATCTAAAAAATAAGGATAAAATAAAAAACTCAGAAAAAAATTTTTCCGATTTTTCAGGATATATCTATAAAGATTTTAAATTTTAATTATATTAAAAATAATGTTTAAATAACAGTTGCAGACTTAACTTAATTTTAATTGTATTCTGTTTGTCAACAAACCTAACTGGTTGACAGTACGCAATAAACTCTCAAAACTTCAGTCACTTTATAAAGAATAAAGAAAGATTAATATTAAAAAGCTCAATTCTGAATTATTAAACCATAAATAAATATGTCAAAAGAATTAAAAAATAAAAATTTAAATTAACTAATTAATAAATTTAATAAGTTAACGTATTTTAAACATTTATTTTTGTAATTTTCCGATTGTTCCTAAAAGAGACTTACGATAAGTATAAATAAAATATAGTCGTTTAAATTTTATCAAATTTAAACATCAAAAAAAAAAAAAAACAGCAAAGTTATACACTTAAAAATTTTTTTTGCTGGCATACAGCTATACTATATAATCGTCCGGCTCCTTCCGACTTATGTATTTATGTTACTTACTACCTGTACAAGAAAGACAACAAAGTTGCATGCAAAAAGCTTAAAAACTGATCATATATATGTATATATAGGAATTTACAACGTAAATAATGTATAATAAGCAGACAATGGAATATTCATAACACAGCCCAGCCCAGAAGACGATACTTAAACGGACATTTAACGGACAAAACATCTGAAGTTAAATCCTAAAACGACAAAAAAAACGAAATATCTGGCGTTCAGTTTTTGGCAGAAACTGTTTCGCTGACGATAGCTAGACAGAAATAAAATTAACAAATATTTTGCAAGACTTTATAAATATATTTTACTAGTTAAGGCTCGAAATGTTGGTTGTTGTTGTTTAAATGTTGGTTCGTTTTTAAAAGGTATTTTGTACTATAAGAATCTCACCTTTTGTGCTGCTGAGAGACCTAATCTTACACTAAATCTCTGATGTTAACCATTTGACTTGGTTGAAATAAATAAATTAAAATGAGAGTTCAAAGAACTCGCTACGCATTAATATTTAGAGTTTGACATGTCTAAGTACCAAATTTCGGTTTTGTCTTTATAATATTATTTTGCTTCTAATTAAAGCGAGTTTGGCCAGTTTTTGTTAACGTTGCTTTTGCGATGCGGTTCGATTTGATTTGATTTTTGCGACGAAGTTTTTGCGACGAACTTTTTGGTGAATTAGCAATAAACAGAAAAACCGATAAAAGGTAAACAATTGTTTCAAAATCGACACACAACGTGCAAATAAGGTTAACAAAAATAATCAATTAAATTAATTTAATGACTGCAGAAAATTCACAATTTGTGTGTGCACAATAATGATAATATCCATAAAGTCCAATAAACACACTGAAAAAAATGTGGTTTTAGATGTGAGTATTTAAACTATAAATGTGGAAACTAGGTTAAATAAATACTTAATATATGTATATTACATGCTTATTTAAATACACAGATAATTAATTCAAGGAATCGTGCGATTTATAGTTAAATATTTATAAATAATCTTAAAAAAAGTTAGAAGGGCACAAACATGAAACACGAAACATATGATGAGTATTCTTTAAGAAAATATTTTATGCCACAAAAATTATTTTTTTTGTTGCTGTAAAAACCTGTTATCGGGTTCCTATTAAATGTATAAATATATGTTACATAAAAAACCTAATAATTATATTAAAAATGGTTCTATCTTTGTAGCGAACTTATTTCTAAGAAACTAAACCTATATAATATTTTTTTTTTATTTTTCTTTAAAATTTATATATATATTTTTTATATATATATTTTTTATTTATATATATATATATTTTTTTATATATATATTTTGTGTACGTATAGGTCGACCATAATTATGTTTTCTCTGCTGCAAAATCATGACATTGCCACCTGTTAAAGCCTCACAGATATTGTTGCTCTTGCTTCTGTTTGTGTTTTATGCGCTTTACCTTGCTTTATTTGGTTTTTCGTGGGCAAGAACAACATACAATTATTGTCTTTGCGCACTCGGCATTGCCGAAGCTTTGGCCTGCTCTTTCTCCCGACCAAGTCCCCCCCCCTAATAGAGCCACATGTGAGGCTTGTTGTTGCCGGCTTTTGGCCAAAAATCAGCTGAGCTCGGCCAGCTGCTTTGTGTTTATATTTTTTCCACGAGCGTAGCGCCTGCGCTTGAAATGTTGAGCTCCCCCCTGGTCACCAAATCAATCGAGCAAAAAGCCGAAGCGGAAAGCCGAGCTTTTTCGACTGGAGAACGGACGTATAAAATAGCGATGCCTCGCCACCAAACGATTCAGTCGTCTAACGGAGTTCAAACCAAGCTGAGTTGGAAAAGTTCTGGTGCTAAGGCCGTGGAAAATCCATCGAAGAGTCTGTCGTAAAATTTATAAAAAATTCCAAAGTCATAAACAAGTGCGTTTGAATACAAAAAAAAAAAAATACAAGAAAAAAAAAATCCATTTACGAGTGCTGTGCTGTGGGCGCATAATTGTGTATGCAAGTGCATAAAATATCCAACAGAGTATCAAAATCGATTGGGGAGACCCGAATAAATCCCCCATCAATTGTTTAACCACTTGGGCAGTGTTCTTGAGACATGCAAAAGTAGCCAGTGGAGTGTTAAATATAAAATCACAGCAACTACAACTACAACTACAAATACAAATACAAATAAAACGACAACTTGCGAAACGTATTTTTTCGAGTGTTTTTTTTTTGTTTGCTTGCCGCCGACGACGACGCCGATTCAACAAAAGAACTTTGGTAGGTTTTTCGGTTTTCCACCGGAGCTTTGCTTTGTTTGCCTTGCTGGATTTCATGCAAATTAAATTAAGCAATTAAACGAAACTCACAAAAATTGTATTTGCCAAGCTCGATTCTTAGACTTTTTGTTTTGTTTTGCGATTGGATTACCTCATGTTTGGGTCTATAAGACCTCCCTAGGTGATTGCAAAAGTTTCGTTATTAATTTTTTTCTCGCCTTTTTTTTTTTTTTTTTTTTTTTGCCTTTCTGGGTATTGGCAATAATTACAAAATTTACCCAATCGGTCAGTTATTATCGCTTTGTCGGGTTATGCCTGTTTTTTTTTTTTTTTTGCTGCACTAGTTTTCGCAAGGAGTATGAATACTATACATTTGAACACAGTGTTTTATTTTTCCACTTTTACCCGGTACGGTGCTGCTTTCATGGAAATTCAAATAAAAACTCAAACTTTTTTAATAACAACAAACGGTGGCGAGGAACGTCGAGGGGTGGTGTGGTGATGCGGGCGCTGCTGCACTGGAATATATTTAATTGAACAACAAAAAGAAAGCCAAACAATCATAGGCAGCTCAGGAAAGTGGATTGTTGTTGCTCTTTTGGCGCTCAAACGATACACAATGGATTGAGAGTACAGCTGCCACCTAGAACAAGTGGCATAATAAATATTTTTTAAAATATATAATGGCAGAAAAGCGTAGAACGGAATTAAATATTCGGAAGTCTACTCAACACATATATTGGGGAAAAACATGGTCACTAAACATAAATAAAAAACCAGAAAAATATTTGGTTAGTCTATGAACTCATATTATCAAAAAATACGAAAAGTCGGTTATTATTAAAACAATAAAATCCGTAACCAAATGTGCTTAAGCAAATATGTATAAACTAATAAAATCCCAGAATAAAAATTTTATATATTTAGGTTTCAAATTTTATCAAGGAAAAGAGCTTATTATTATAATATCTGGGTGGTCGAATTTGAAATACTACCTCTTAGATATTTATAAGAAATTTATTTTTTAAGGCAACAACGGTTTTACAACGTTTTTAATGAGCAAAACGCGCATTTTTTTTTGGTAACAGATGAATGGTAAGCAAATGTTTTCTTTAGTAAATATGAGCATTTTTTGAAGCTGGCTAGTCTTTCATCAAAAATAAATAAAATGTTGTTACAAATTTATAATGAAGCCGAAAGTCTATGAACCCCATTTAAATTATATGTATATGCAAGAGGACCTTAATTCCTTTTTGAAAAAAAAATACAAAGGCATAAGAGCAAATGTACAAACAAAAATTCGCTTTGGCAAACAGATTTGAAAAAAGACCAAAACAAACCAAAAGCAATAAAAGAGCAGGGCAAAGTACGAGGCAAATTGTTGAAAAATGTAACAAGTCAAAGGAATTTTTTCTACGTCCTCCCTCCCTCGCCATCGCCTGTCAAAATTTTTGCGATAATTTAAATAGAAAAGTAAAAAAAATGAAAACCAAATTTTGTTTGCTCTTGCTGCAAACGTAAATAAAACGTGAATATTTGAAAAAAGAGTTTGGCTGTGATATAGAGGCATGCACGCTATAAAGTTTTGTGGATTTTGTGAATTTAAGCTTAATGGAGAAGAATGTTAGGGAAACAGTTAAAGCACTTAAGATTCTTCGGTTTGATTGATAAACCAAATTTGAAATAGGAGCGAAGTGTTTTGTGAAAATCATAAATTCCGTTTAAATTCAAGAAACGGAACTTTCTGCTCAAAGTTCACAGAGTCGAAAAGATTAAAACGAATGCCAAGGAACTTTCAGGTTTTTTGATTTGGCTGATTTTCAACTTATCTTTTAATGGCCCCCCCCCCCCACCAGTTCCCAAACACTTAACTTAGTCAAATATGCGAATGGAATGCGTTCAAGTATTTGTTGAAAATTAAACGGAAATAATTGAATTATGGTAAAATCAAATGAGAAGCATTCAATTCAATTCCAACAAAAGGCAACAATCGCATTGA